CGATTCGCGCTATTTTTTCTTTTTGTCTTGATGAACACGTCTGAAAAGTATCTATTTGTCCATTGTTATCCTTGTTGGATATTAAGTCTGTCAGCTGTCAAAAAGAATTAATATGCCTTGATATGGTAGGCGATTTTTTAAGTGCTATAAAAATGTATTAGAAAATTTACTTAAAATTAAACTATAGATTGGAATAAAGTGCTACAATCTATATAAATAAAATAAAGGTTTTGTCTGTGCGTTGAACAGAATCAATCCGTTTCATACATTACAGACACCAAATCCACTTTTACGTTTTTTGTTTGTCTGTATCTTCGCATTGTCCAACGAAATTTTGTCAGAGATAATCTCAGCAATGGTTTATGGTAGACTTTTGAAATTTTTACATTATATTTAGGTTTGCTTGACTTAAAACATAGACTTTAAATGAAAACAAAATATTGAGTAGACCGAAAGTTATGAATTCTTGAGCAATTTGTCGAGAGATCTCGATTAGGCAGTTTTCTTACTTCGATTCTAATCCCAATCTACTCTACCGCGAGCCACATTTAAAAGTTTTACTATTCAACTGATGGAAAAAATTGTCACAACTCAACAGGAAAAATCCGAAATCCCGAACATCTAACATGTTGACATTTAAAAAACAGGTAAAACACACTAATTTTTCAACTTTGTCTGATCTTCCCGTCCAAGGTATCATTCGATTCAACTTCCCAAGCCTAACAAATGCTGTCGTATACATTTTTAGGATTAACCAAACAGATTAGCCGAAAATCGGGGAAAAAAGTCCCAAAAATTTCACCCTTCCCCCAGTCACAATATTCATATCAAGTTCTGATTTTACAAAGATGTAGATTTTAAGTCAATATTTTACTTAGTTTTTAAAATTTAAATCAAATTGATTAATAAATAACTGTTGATATTCAAATAATTTATAATATAAAGGAAGGAGATGGTGCTGGGTGGCGTTCATAAATAGTCTCACCGCCACCCCGGACCATCTCCTAACTTTATAATGCAACGGCCAACTATTCAATATTTAAATTTATAATATAAATAGACAAAATCTAAATACATAAAATAATTCATTTTTTAAAATCATCTGGTTGCAATTTACTAGGTATTTGAAAACACGGATGAAATATTAATTATGTTTTTATGCACCAGTAAAAATATGAATGAATGAAAAGAAATGATTGACGGTTTGAATTCGTTTAATCTAAAGATTACAATTTATTTCAAGTTAATTAGAATCAACTGGGAACAATTAAATTTAGAAAGAAGTTTTATTCTATCTATTGAAGTTATTTTGATTGTTGTGAAAAGACCGAAGCAACAGAACATCTTTTAGACTCCTTCCCCAGAAGACAAAATCCATCTAAAAAAGAATTCTCAAATTTTAATTATACCTTGTTATTTTAATTATAACGATGAGTACATCAGCTAGTGTTTCAAAAATGTTAAATATCTCTTTTGGTGAATTTGGTACAAGCAGAGTGGCCACCATATAGTACATAGTAACACAGGTTCCCAGAGGTCTTCAGGAGGTTGGATGTGGGCATATCCTTTTGTTGGGTTTGGAATTTTCGGCTTATTATCATAAATTACTCTCATACAGTTTGTAATTTTTCGTTTAATTACTAAAAGTGACGGCGCTCCCTCCCCTTTGAGGCTGATGTAAGACGGGTCGCTCTACTCTAAGACCGGCGCTGTCCCTAATTTAGTTGCTTTGACAATGGTAAAGGTTGTATTTAAGTAAATAATTGTATTTTTTTTTTTTTTAGTTTCTGGCAAGTGGCAGGCGCTCCTCAAAGTCACAGCCTTAGATGTTGTCGTTTCGCGACCCAAAGGCTCTATTTAATGGTGGACTGTTTATATCTTACTAGCTGATGTACCCGTTTTTGACGGGTGTATAGTTACAATTTGAGAATCTTTTTTTAAAGATGGATTTTGTATTATGGGAGAGATCCAAATTTAATTTCATAAAATTTGGTGGAGTGGTTGTTTTGAAATTTTTTACGGGGGCCTTATGGAAGTCAATGATTCGCAATAGTCAAAATAAAAACATTCTTTAAACAGCGTGACTTGGGCGCTCAAATGTGGGAGGATGTCAGATTTTTTCTGGTAGAGTAGAGTGAAGTATTTACGTTTTCTATAAATGTAAACACCTAGGATGATACCCTTTTTCTTTCTTTTTTTTTAAGCGGGCCATTCTATATATTTAATAAAAAAAAAAAAAAATGGCCAAATTTATTTGACTTGGCGAGATTGATAAAAGGACGTCTTGAGCAGATCAATTGGATGAGCCTAACTACTAACTGTTAAAATAGTGCGTTGACGCTTAAACGTAAGTCCGGGATTTCAGTTTTTTTCCGGCTGGGTTCTGAACTAGGATCAATTTGGTTCTACTCAATATTTTGTTTTTACTCAAAGCCAGTTTTAAGTCAAACAAACCTAAATGCAATGTAAAAATTTCAAAAGTCTCCCATTAGCCATTGCTGAGTTTATCGCTGGCAAACTAACATGTGACATTGAGTCACCTACATCCGTGTGAAATTTTTGGGAGATTTTTTTCCCCAATTTTCGGCTAATCCGTTTGGCTAATCCTAAAATGAATACGACAACATTTGTTAGCCTTGGGAAGTTGAATCGAATGACACCTTGAACGGGAAGATCGGACAAAGTTGAAAAATGAGTGTGTTTTACCCATGTTTTAAGCGACAACACGTTACAAGATGTTCAAGATTTCGGATGTTTCCCGTTTAGTTGTGATAATTTTTTCCATCAGTCGAATAGTACAACTTTTAAATATGGCTCATGGTAGAGTAAGTTAGGATGAGAATCTAAGTAACTGCCTAACCGGGATCTCTAGACAAATTACTCCAGAATTCATAATTTTGGTTCTACTCAATATTTTGTTTTCAATCCTATGTTTTACCCGGGACTGCTGTACAAACTCCGTAAATTCCTACCATCTACATTCTTCCTCATTTTCCGTTCCTACCTTACTGGTAGATACTTTAAAGTAAATCACAACAATGTCTATACATCCCGCTTTTTCCAGTCTGCAGGTGTTCCTCAAGTTAGTATCCTAGGTCCTATCCTTTACACAGTTTATACAGCATCATAAACCTTGAAGAATGGTGTCAAAACTAGAGAATTAAAATACATTCTAATAAATCCCATCAAATTACCTTCATCCTTCGTCGTAAATCAATGACTTTCTGTCCTTCAGTATCCTTTAACAACACCTTATTCCTGTTGAACAAATCCGTTACCTAGGACTCCACCTGGACAAACGTCTAACTTGGAATCCTCATACCAGACTGAAAAAGCAAGAAACAGCTCGACGTTTCCGACTACTTCGACACTTATTAGACAAACGCTCCAACCTTCCAATTAATTACAAAATACTCATTTACATGGCTGTAATAAGGCCTATTTGGACTTACGGATTTGAGCTATGGGGTTCCACCAAACCTTCAAATTCTTCTCGTATCCAATCCTTACAATCCAAAATTCTTCGTAAAATCCTCAATGCTCCTTACTTTGTTACAAATAAAATCATCCATAATGACCTTAATGTCCTTATGTATTAGATTTGGCCCAATCCAGATACCTATCCTTCCATAATAAACTTCATAACCATCCCAACCCTCTTGTTTCTAACCTTGCTTCCTATTCAATTCCTGATAACCCTTTGAGGCGTCTGAAAAGAAGATGGCCACGTGACCATCTTCTAATATTGACATATTATTAGAGTACTACCAATGTAGTTTCTCAACACGTGTTTCATGTCATTATATCCATGTGCGAATTTACTAGATGTATTTTTTTTTTTTTATACAATAGTAAATATCATATAAATAAAAAAAATCCTATGTTTGAAGTCAAGCAAACCTCAATATAATCTCAAAATTTCAAAAGTCTACCATTATCCATTGCTGAGCTTACCTCTGACAAAATTTCGTCGGACAATGCGGACGTATAGACAAAAAAATTTTTAAAAGTGGATTTGGTGCCTGTAATGTATAAAGCATAAAGATATCATGAAACGGGTTGATAATATTCAATGAACAGACAAAACCTTTATTTTATTTATATAGGATATTAGAAATCGTCCACTTGTTCGCTAGTACAATTTACCTCATTCTTCTAATTCTTTACTAAAATTTACTAATAACTAACACATGTTACACCATCTAATGACCTATTATAATTCTCTAAGAAAACTAACATTGTAAACAATATTTTGCACTCATTCCTAAAAATAATTGTTAAAATTATATTTGACATATGAAGAAAGAAAGAAAATGACAAGGCACAAGAAAAGTTCGAATAAGCAAGACGAAGACGATGATTGGAGCGAACTTTTGAAAGTAATGGGCGCAACCCTAAAACCTAACATCAAATGTCAGGTCAAAACACCATCATATGGTATGTCGATCCTGTATGCATTTATCATTGTTACATGAGATTTTAATTGCAGGATGTGCTATAGAATATACGCATTATTTTGTAATCTCATTGCAAGAATATTTTATGCATTTAATAATAGATTTTTTTTTTAAAGGATACACCTAAATCATTTAGAAGTTCTATTTAGATTAGATATAGCAAAGTAAAAATGTAAATGCTTAACGTATTTTGATGAAATGTAGTGAACCGTATGACACAATTACTTAAATAGTTCTTAATGTTGAAGTTTTAATTGTTTATCCTTATCTTTTTAAAGAGAAATTCGTTTAATTCCAGAATCTCGATTAATTAATCGATAAAGGGTCTGATTGCTACTCAAGATATTTTCCTAATGTGAGTCTGAGTAACATAACCTTTGAAATGTTTAAGTCCTCGTTGTATAATTATTCATTTTTCTTTCCCCTCTCCCATCCTATCATTTTCTGAGATATAGGAGGTATTACTACAAGTATAACCAACCTATTCTAACCAGAATGGGATGGCCAATTTACCTCTTTCTTCTAATTCATCACTAATTTTTTACTAATAACTAACACATGTTACATCATCTAATGACCCAACATAATTCCAAAAGAAAACTAACACTGTAAACAAATTTCGCACTCATTCTTCAAAATAATCGTGACGACTGTTGTTGACATATTGTACCATATTAGAGAAAATGACTAAGCACAAAGATTCGAATAAGCAAGAACGTGATTGGAACAGACTTATGAAAGTAATGCAAACACCAGGAAGAACTAACAGCAGATGTCATATCATAGCAGCATCATATCGTATGTCAATGTTTTACGCCTTCCCTCTCTATCATATATATGTATATATATATATATATATATAATTTTAATTACACTACAGAAGTTATACAATTTTAGCATTATTTATGATTTTAGTGCAACGGATCTAATAATCGATTTCTTTCGTACTAGTGGAACAAGGCACTTTTTGTCCCTGGATATTTTATCAAAAGGATCGGGCCCTCCAATATTTTGCAATCATTATCTTAAAATAACTCGCAAATAGTTCAATAACCTCTATAGGTAATAATTATATAGTTGGTTTATTGCAAAAAAATCATTAAACACATTGTTGATGGATCTATACTTTCGAGAACGTTTTTGTGGAATTCTACTCAATTTATAGATTAAAAAAAAAAAGACAAAAAGTGCAAAATTTGCTAATTTCACAAGGTGAAAATTCATTAAAGTGCTTAGTGATTTAAGGTTCTGAAGTGTCGCTTAATGAGTTTTTGCAATAAGCTGACAGTATTAAGGACAAGTTTCTAAAGTATGCGCTGAGCTTATCGAAGGCATCGTTTCATTCAATTTAAAGACGGGCATTCATTATGTCATCTATGAGCTCAGCGATGAATTCAGGAACTTACCGTACGATAATAGACTGATTACTGAACTACTCCTTTAGGTATGACGATCTATATCCACGTCCTCCTACCATGCATTGAACACAACAGTGTTCCACTAACATTTCTTTTCTTCTTTTATTGTTACAACAGGCCTTGCGTGCTCAACAGCCGCCAACCATCTCAATTTATCTTCAGTAAGGGTAACAAAGATCCTCAGTTGTCGCAGATCCTGCTTCACAGCATCCCCCCATCGGCCCTTCGGCCTACCACGTCGGCGCACACCGTTCGGAACGCTAATGTATAATTCATGAACCGCTCTTTCCTCACTCATCCTCACTGAGGCCAAGCCACTTAAGCCTCTTTATCCTGATATACGAGGAGATGCTACATTCCTTGTAGAGCCTAAACAGTTCACTATTTTTTCTTCTTCGCCAATTATCATTCTCGCATACAGTCCCTAAGATTCTCCTCAAAATTATTCTTTCAAACCTGTCTTGCAAGTTAATGCTTGTATTGCTTAGTGTCTACGTTTCTCTACCTTATGTGACGATTGGCCTTATCAGTGTCTTGTAGAGCATAAGCTTGGTGGTACTGTTAACGAGTTTGCTTGATTAGCCTTAAAATGGAGAAATAAGCTTTATATTCTGCTTTTAACCTCTTCTTCTTCATTGTGGTTATCGCTGATGATAGAGCTAAGATAAGAAAAGCTTCTGACCACTTCGAAATTGTAGGGGAGAAATTACAAAGCGACTCTGCTTCTGATCAGGTGACTTCTTACCCAATACCATAATCTTCGTTTGCTCTCCATTAATATGCAGACCCATCTTGCTTCGAAAGCCATCCTAATGCTCTGATGGGATCTAGCGATAGTGACGACAGCGTCTGCAAAGACCAGAACTTGAGTCATTTTTGTAAGTATTGTTCCTTCCTGAGTCCTGTTTTATTAAACAGGAGATGAGGTAGTGGGCCCCCTTTCTTAGGCCACTTTTCACTGCAAAAGGCTCTGATAGCCCACAAGATTTTACTCGGCGGATTGAGCTCACCATTGTGCATTTTACTAATCGAGTTAGTTTACTTGACAGCCCCAGTTCATGCATGGCCAATATGAGTTCACTCCTTACAATTGTATCTTAGGCAGCACGAAAATCAATGAACACCATCCAAGTTGTCTGCTGATAGCCTTTCACCTTCAGAGATTTGCCTCAGAGCAAAGATGGAATCAATAGTAAATCTGTTGGGCCTGAAACCATCTTGATAATCACCCATCACCCAGTTTCTGTTCAATATACGGATAAAATCTGTTGTAAAAAAATCACATGCCTTGTTAAGCAAACTAATCCCACGGGAGTAGCTGCATATCCTTGAATCTCCTTTCTTGTAAACTACCTCATTCCATTCGTTAGGTATGGCCTCCTCTTCTCATATCTGAGCTATCAGGTCCTATAGTTCCCTGGTGACTTCGTGATGGCCTGCTTTAAACAATTCTGCTGGGAATCCATCATTACCGGCTGGTTTATTATTTTGAGTTTACACAGCATGTCTTCGATGTCCTCTACATCGGGTGGAATTGTTTCCAAGTCATCATAATTGATACGCAGTGGTAATTGTACATGGTCTTTCAGACAGTGCTCTGCTTCTCTCGGGTTCAATAAGCTTTTGAAATATTGTTGCCACCTTCTGCCACTCCTTTTAGCATTAGCATGTTACCATGTTCGTCTTTCATTAGGTTGGCTCTCCTGTTCGTTCACAACTTAACGCTATTACTTGCCCTCCGTGTCTATCGACTAATCCATATCAATCTTTTTTCATTCTGTTTCTGGGTTGCCTGCTTACATTCTTCGTCAAACCATTAGTTACGAGGATTTATTATTTTTTCTCTACAAACTTCTTTATCAGACTGGGCCAATCTTACTTTGATACACTTCCACCTACTTTCACTTTTCGCTGTAGTTTCATCAACTGTCCCGCTCATGACTATCTCATGAAACTTCTCAGAAAACTTAGTCATCATTTCTTCTGTATTTAAGCCTTCTGTGTTTCACTGATCGTTTCGGACTTGTTTCTTTTATATTTTATCTTTTTGGTGGAGTTTCATCATAATGATCCATGTTAACATTAAATCACCTATACGATCTTATATTGTTTATATAATTAAAATTATTTTGGGAGGATACCAGTACGTGATCAATTTGACTTGCTGCGATGCCATTCGGAGAGTGCCATGTTTCTTTATGAACATTTTTATGAGGGAAAATAGGGCTCATGGATTGACAGCCATGGGTTTTGAAGTTGTAAACCTTACCATTCTGTATCCTTGTCATTAGTTCTATGGTGTAAGATATGCACGGGCGGATCTACGGCGGGGAAAAGAAGGGGCTTTGTAGCTGAAGCTCTCCCCAAAAATGGTAAAATGAACCATGTTTTACGGAAAACAATTATCTCTTAAAGTATTATTGTTGTAATTACATTTAAAAGAACATTAGTAATCACTTAAACACCATTTCGTATAGGTAGTTAGTTTCTTTCTTTTTTTCCAAAGTAATTATCGTTAATTTTATGAAAAAAAAAAGCTTCGGGCTGAAGCCCTCACAAAATTAAATCCTGGACCCGCTAGTGAAGCTATGAGCTCCTATGCTAGGTCTCACCTCCTTTTCCTTACCAACCTTTACATTAAAGTCTCCCTATACGATTTTCATATCGTAACTGTGACAAGTACTATATGCATCTTCCAATTGTTCATAGAAAATATTTTTCCCCTTCGTCCTTCTTTTCTGTGAGGGCATGCTCACAAATTAAATTAATGTTCCGGAGATGACCCCTAATACTTAGTTAACATAGCATTTCGTTAATTGGTTGGAATTTGAGGATTGAGGGTTTTATTCGATTCGCAACTGTAAATGCAACTCCAAATTCATGCCTATTTTAGCTTCCGCTATACAGCATTATATCACCTTTTCCAGTCCATCTCATCTCCTGTATTGCCAAGAGGTCCAGAGAGGCCTTCTGCGACACATCAGTAAGATCTTCAAGAGCTTCAACTCTATATGAAGTACGTACGTTCCACGTTCTGATTTTATATGTCCGTTTCCGAGTTCATATAGTTGACGTGAAAAAATCCTACATCCGAGGTTTCGTTGGTTGTTCGTAACAGGGAGATTTTTACGATTCATGGGGAGTCGGCCTCCCTCTTTTATCGAGGCTTGGGGCTGACAATGGTCCTACCATAACTATTTCCATTGGTGGTTATCCATTAACATTCCCTCTTCCTTTCCCCTCCCCCCAATATTTCTAAAGTGCTAACCCCTATGCATTCAGATATACCCAAGTTAAAATCTAGATGAATTTTGGTGAAATTGTATGACTCTTGGACCATTCCACATTAATACTTAACTAATTTTTGTTTTATGTTAAAGTTTTAAATGGTTTATTTTTATTCTTTTAAAAAGCAATTTTAGAATTCCCCATAAGTAGACCAAAACTGCACTCACGAGTTCATAGAGGTTCGAAATGCTATTGCGATTATATGTGTGCATAATGTAACCCTAACAATCTTTGTTATATTAAAAGTTTTATTTGGTAAATACTACATGTTTACCCAACCTACTATTCTAACTAGAGTGGGAAAGTCGGTCTTCATTCCGTGTGTCCGCCACGAAGGTTTAATTTATTAAGGTCTTTCTTTTATTTAATTTAATATTATTATTAGCCATAAAAATGGTACAAAGAACAATAGTCGTGAATACTGCAGTCTTATTGCGGAATGAGGTAGCTAACCTATGATAAACGGAAAATACAAGCTATACAGCTTAGCTTACCTCGGAATACATCAATGAACGTAAAACCACTGCTATTGGAAGTTGAATGATAAGCCATTAAATAACGTCTAACTTGGAATCCTCATACCAGACTGAAACGACAAGAAACAGCTCGACGTTTCCGACTACTTCAACACTTACTAGACAAACGCTCTAACCTTCCAATCAATTATAAAAGACTCATTTACATGACTATAATAAGGCCTATTTGGACTTACGGAGTTGAGCTATGGGGCTCCACCAAACCTTCAAATTCCTCTCGCATACAATCCTTACAATCCAAAATCCTTCGTAAAATCCTCAATGCTCCTTACTTTGTTACAAATAAAATTATCCATAATGACCTTAATGTTCCTTATGTATCAGAGTTGGCCCAATCCAGATATCTGTCCTTCCATAATAAACTTCATAACCATCCCAACCCTCTTGTCTCTAACCTTGCTTCCTATTCAATTCCTGATAACCCTCCGAGGCGTCTGAAAAGAAGATGGCCCCGTGATCTGCTAATATAGACATATTATTTGAGTGCTACCAATGGGTAGTTTCTCAACATATGTTCCATGTCTTTATATCAATTTAGTGCGAATTTACCAGATGTATTTTTTGTATACAGTTGTAAATATCACATAAATAAATAAAAAAAACAAAAACATATCTTCTTTAAATTAAACAATTAATCGTCGTTCTTCCGATATGTGTTAACTCCCTTTTGGAATTACTTATTGACGGTCTCGGTGCGGCGTGCTGGTGCGTCAATTCAAATTCGAAAGTTCGGTCTTATTACTTAATTACAAACTGCCATTACTTAAATTATAAACATATTTTGAACTAATCTCCAGAGCCAAAATCAAAAAGTAAACAAGATTTTAACATAAATTAGGTTAGATAAGGCCAACACATGTGGACCAGATAGGGCCATGTATGGTTTCATCAAGACCAAGCCGATATACGGCCGTGGTACATTTCGGATGCGGTGCGGACATGTGTTCACGGACAGATCTACGGAGAGAGAGAGGGCTTTGGAACTGAAGCCCCTCCCCAAAATGGTAAAATATAACCATACCTTATGAAAAAAATATTTAATAATTACCTCTAAAAGTATTGTTGTTCGTATAATTAAATTTAGTAGTACTTAAACTCTTTCATATTGGTAGTTAATTCCTTTATTTTTCTTCCTACGTAATTTTTTTTTTTTTGTTCTTCCCTACCTCGCGTTTTTTAGGCTATACGGAATTTTCCTGGTCCGGAGGGTGAGGGCGGGGAATTTAAAATCCTCTCCCGCACCGGGATGCGAACTCATACTTTTTAAATCTTCACAAATCTCTTATCCGGTTGCCAGGCAACAGGCTTTAGCCCATTCGGCCACCCCGCCCCCACCCCTCTTCCTACGTAATTATCATTATACGTTTTTTTTTTTTAAATCTTTCGGGCTGAAGCCCCCCAAAACTAAATCCTGGGTCCGCTAATGCATGTGTGTTCTAACTTTAAGTCGTAGTCGGGGAAACGAGAATTCTCTCTCACTCTTATCCTACTATTGCAGGAGTGCCCAGGTTTTTTTTTTTTTTTTTTTTTTTTAGGGGATAATATTTTAATGGGTTTTTCAATTTTTGAGGAGTACACATTTCGACAGGGTAATGAATTTTCGGAATGAAAAGTTTCATAATAAGTACAAGGAGAAAACACGGAACAGGCTGTAGTAAGTGTAATTGTATGCACTAGTGGATCCAGGATTAAATTTTGGGGGTCTTCAACCCGAAGGACTTTTTTTCATATATATAACAATAATTAATTTGAAAAAAAAGAAAGAAAGAAACTAACTACCCATATGGCATTGTGTCTTAGTGATTCTAGAAGTGCTATTAAGTGTAATTACGCGAACAATAATAGTTTAAGAGATAGCTTTTAATATTTTTTTTCTATAAAACATGGTTATATTTTACCATTTTGGTGGGGGGTGGAGCTTCAGCCCGAAAGCCCCCCGCCCCCCCCCCCCCGTAGATCCGCCTGTGATTGTATGTGATCTACTATTTTTCTAATTCTACCTTCGCTTACTCAGTTTTTGAGAATAGTTGAGCAATCAAATCTCTTGGGAGTGGAGGAGGGTAGGTACTTACGCCATCGACAGACCTTGGGGAAATGGGTACTCCTGAATATGGGAAGTCGGCAGTATCCGAAGTCTGCCGGTATCCACTAAATAATTAAAGAAAAGAACAGTATTTTGGAATATCCATATATCCAAGACCTATTCTTAGCAGTTTCTAGTATTTTTTCTTTTTTCTTTCTTACAGTTGGTGTAAAAGAATAAATAATTACCTGTGCAGTGGCTTACTCACTGAGCTTCTTCACTTCTTACAAAAATAAAAATACGAAGTATGAACTAGTATTGTTGTTATCTAACGTCTTTTGACCTTACAATCTTTATATATCTTCAAAATTAGACTATCTTCGGAAAATTGGAAGATGATGAATTGAAGTAACATTTTTTGAAATCTTCAAGGTCGTTGTTTGTTGAGATTCTAACAAGTATTTGTGATTATTATTCATATTTTAATACTATTCAACCACCACAAGAGAAAGAAAACAATTATTCAATTTTATTTGTACACTTGGCTTTAGCTGGGTATGATAATCTGAAGAATCGATATTTTACTGTAAATTGGTTGCTGCCTTATGGAAAATTGATCGTAGATAATAAGGTACTCAAATTGAGAAATGTTCGTGATGTTAGAGAAATTTGTATTGTGGGAAAAATGGGTTTATTTGGGAGGGAAACCTTAACATCACCATATCTCAAAAACTGTATGGAATAGGTGATTGGCAACACTTATCTACATTTTAGGCAGACCATCCATTCATCAATGGCTTATATTTCCACCAGAAAAACATTGTATATAGTTCTTCTTTGTCTGTAGTAAACCCTAAAGTGGAAGCATGTATTTTAATAGAAAGTTTGTTATACTTCATGCAGAAACCATATGTGTATTACATTATTTAAAAATAAAATTATGTGTTCTGAATCTCAGGTTTATGTTCAGGGATTGTTAATCCCTAAAAATAATATTAAAAATAACAACCATGTATGTATTATATTATTGATTATTATATAAATATTATGTTTTAAATGTATATTTAGTTTAAATTTTCTGTTAACAGAGAGACATATTAAGGGTAAACCTCTTCCCCCATCTCCTATTTCAGAGTTAGTTTGTACATGTATTTAAAATATATATGATCTAGTGATTAATGAGAATTTTTATAAATCATAATTCCTGGTATTATTAATCAAAAAATGTTAAATCTTGGAATTGTGTTGAGAAACACCCATGGCAATCCAGGTTTTACTATATTAAATTATTTAAGAAAAAATTATATTATCCTACTTTTGGAGTAAAAAGAGACAATCGTGGGTAAAAACAAATAAGATATCTAGTGTTCAGGGCCACAATTAAATTCTTTAATTTCTTAAGCTGTGGTAATTTAATATTTCAGTACAGTCAATGTTACACATTGTCTAAAGTGGTCCCTCCCAGACTGCCTGGTTTTCCAACTTTTTGCTGGTTTTTTTGCTACGTTATGTCCCGCTTTGGATACTTGAAATAATATATGACATGGACACTAAAAACTTTTTTATATAATAGAATGATTGTATTTAATTCTAAGCGATATCAGTATGTACAGCTTTGAATATTATGTCATTTAATACTAGCAGTAGTGTGCATGGATGCTTAATAAAACACTATAGCACACAACCGTATTGCAACATTGGCATGGGAGAGTGGAAATAAAAAGTCAATTTGGGTAAAAAGTATTTTAATGTTTTTTTAATTAATTAAAAAAAAAATAGTAAAAACCAAACTTCTCTGTAAAGTTGATCAATGATGTGTAGTAACATTTAGTTTATTAACCATTGAGCTTAGTTTTTCAGTAATATAAGTAGTCCAGTAATGAAAAAGGTGCATTAACTTTCATTATGTGATTATCATTGGGAATTAAAATTGAATTAGAAGGCAATTTAATTTAAGATAATTCCAAATTATATTTCTCATCTAGTTTTATTTTGTTGTATTTATATTTCATGTTTTATAATTTAATAAAAAATAAATCAATAAAATATTAAAATAAATTTAATCTTACAATGTTTTTATTTTATTAAAACAATGTAAACTACAAACGTAACAAAATAATTATCAATACACAAATAAAGTATCTGCACATATCTTATTATTATCACATATCTTGTATCTCATAAATAAAATTACAATGAATTAATATCGATATCGGAACATTTAAACTTAATTGTGAATATGAAAAAACAATTCAATAAACTTCCCATATATGAAATCTGCACAATTTAAGTATGTTTGCAAGTAAGTATACAAGTATGTTTTCTATTAAACAATAGGATTAGCACATAGGCAACGCTTGAATGTGTAGCGAGTATATTTTTCAGATAGATAAGATACATTCTCTGTAAAATTTGTAGAGGTTTTAGGGTCGAGGAGTTAATGGGTGGTGTATGGGTTACTACGAAGGGTGGTGCACTGTCCAGAATGAGGCCTTAAGTTTAAACTTTTGCAAGTACAAATTTTAATTACTTAAAGAAAAAAAAAACTTTTAATATGAATGATTTTTTTTTAGATTCACTGAACAATAACAGCTTCGAAAACAGACCTAGCAACAACTATGATAACAGAGCTAGCAACAACTATGATAACAGAACTAGCAACAGCTACCACGAAGATAAACATTCTAAAGCTTGGTGTAAAGAAAAAAGAACAGATGATGCTGTTTGTGTGGCCAAGTTACGGAGGATGTTTGCTAGCTGCTGTGCAGAGAACAACCTCTCCTCAAGGGTTAATGATTTGGAATTTAAAGTGAGGCGCTTAGAAAAAATATATTGTACGTAATATTATCTTAAATTCTAATGTATTGTCATGAAAATGCCAAGTTTAATTTACTTTATAACATTTGATTTTCGAGATAATATAACTTAATTTCTGAACTTCACTGCTGGACTAAATAATCTTAACCAATAACCAATTTTTGATTTATAAAAAATGCTACAATTTCTATTAAAATTAATTCAGTAACTGATACCTCTGCCTCTACCAGAATTACTATGAACAATCCTCTTCTTATGCCCTTAAAGAGGTTTTAACAAACCTCTGTAGTATATTGTTCGACTGATAAATAACATTTTATTTCATTTCTTCGTGTGTCCTAAGAATGGAATTATAGTATCATACAGAATGCTTAAACAAATATAAACATACTTTATTGAATTAAGTTTCAAATTTTGTAAAGCTTATGCCAGGAACATGATACTGATATCTTAAACTATAAGATCTGTGTGGCTGTGTTTCAATATATGTGTATTATTGTAAATATTTTGTTATTAATACCAGAAAGCTAGAGAAAGAAAATGTGAGTTTCAACTTTTTGCTGCTCGAGTACGTCGTCTAACTTTTAACTGATGATCGTCGAACTATACTTACTTACTCCATGATGCTACAGCCCTATAAGGGTTTGGGCCTCCTCTACAATTCTACTACATTCTTCTCTATACTATCTGACCATCTTAATCATGGACGTCCCCTAACTCTTTCTCCTCCAGGCTTACCATCCAGCAATTTTTTTGGCATCCTAATTTATTCCATCCGCTCTACATGTCCCAGCCACCTCAACTGATTCTTTCTAAGAAAGAAAACCAGATCTGGTTCTTAGACCATTTCTTTCAGTTCCTCATTCTTTCTTATTTTCCAGTTTCCGTTCTCGAAGATAGGTCCATATATTCTTCTGAGTACTTTCCTTTCCCAAACTTCTAACATTCTATCACTTTCTTTGGAAAGTACCCAATTCTCACAGCCATAAGACATAGCTGGCCTAATGACTTTTGTATTAGATGACCTTAGCTCTATTGGTCAGGCTTCTTCTGAATTTTAAAGACTTTTGAAGAGTTTAATAGCAACTGTTTCCAGCATCTACTCTTGTCTTGATTTCTTCTTGGTGTTCATTCTTTTATGTGACAAGAGCACACAAATACCTAAACTGGTTTGCTATCCTGAAAGTGTGGCTTCCAAATTTGATAATTTCTTCCATTCTTTCTAGTGGGTTTCTTGATGACTTTATATAAACTGTCTTTTCGTCGTTCACATAGAGTTCCAACTTTTTCGAGAGATTTCGAATTTCTCGAACACGCCCCAACACAGATGTTCTTGATCTGGCCGATATTAACACGTTGTCTGGGTAGGCTAGATGCTCTGAGAGCCTGTTATATATCGTGCCATCAGGGCTTGTCTGAATACCACAAACTGCATATTCTAAGGCTAGGTTGTGAAGAGTTGGGGATAAGGAGTCTCTCTTCCTTAGGCCGTCTTCAAGTGCTCCTTGTATATTGACTTTACAGCATCTATAAGTCAGTGTCATCCTTGTTAGTCTAACTAACTTTTTTGGTACACCTAAAGGAGCATTACGTTTAACAATTTTCTTCTATTGACACTGTTGTAAGCCTCATCAAACTATAACAGAAATAATCAGTGTCACACCTAAATAATGAATGTGCTTGGAGTTTATTTTTAATGCTTTCTAATATTATATTGAATCTTTAAAGAGTAATACTGGAGGAAATAGTGTCAGGAGAGTTATCTGTGTCTCTAAGAGTAATTTAGTATGTTAGTTACACTCTAATAAGAGTGACTTTAATAGAGGCGTACAATAGACCTTCATGGCTGCATTGCATTTTGCCGCAGAAAAAATAAATAAAAAGTTTTATGTTGAGAAATAAGTACATATGTACTTAATGAGCTTATCAGCTGACATTTGTCCCTTAAGAATCTATACAATGTGTAATATGGAAATATATATCTCTTTTCTGGCTCTCAGGAGTGATGTATTTTCATGAATAAGGTATCAAACGAAAGGGAATTTCATGGAGAGTGATGAATGTCAATTTCAAAACTTAAAACCTTACTGCAAAGGATTGAGAAGGGATTAATTGTCTTTTAAAGATTTTGAGGTACTTGTGAGTTAGCAGGTCGCCAGGGACTGTTTATAACCTGAACACTGATAATTCTGATACTGATAATACCTACTTTCTTATTTGTATTTATGGAAATTGAAATAGACAAAAAGGAATGTAATAATAAAAAAAAAACACTTTTATTTTACAACATTTTATTAATTTCGGAAGACAAAATAGTGAGGAAGAGGCCCTCTTCTTTTAGAAAAAAATACATTTGTCTATTTCAACCACTTTTCCAGTCCCTACAATTTTTATTGTTGACTTCTATAACATGTAATGGGTACAGACTTATCTCAAAATCTATTCCACTCGACTACACTTTTGTTCAGTAATAAGAAAATAACAGAGGGAAATAAAATATGAAATTATACTAATAAATCATAAAGAAATAAAAGGTTTTTTTCTCTTCTGTGAAAAAGCTCATTTTTACATCCGATGTTTCGCACTAAAAGTTGTGTTATTACTTATTCGTTTTGAACCTGTTATCAGTTTCCAAAACTACAACAGAAGATATACTAATATTTAATTAATATTAGCCATACTTTTATCTCTATATTATATAAAAAAGTTTTTAGTGACTTTCATATATTATTTTATTTTATTATTAGGAGAGTAGGAGATAACAGCAGTTCAACGTTTCAGCTCTCCCATGGCGATTATTTTATAAATTATAGAGCTGTTCATTGCATATGTTGAGCTTGTGTTGTGTTGAGCTTCTGTAACCTCCTGTTCTCCTAAAACGAAATAAAGATTTTAGCTGAAAATTTGTATGAAAATGGTATTATTCAGAGGTGTTAGTTTGATGTTACCTAGGTGACAGCAGTTATTTTTCAATCTAGCCATTTTCTCTTGAATGCAATATATTAATTATTATATTAAATATAATATTATTTGTATTATATTGTGATATAATTATAATTATTATGAAATAGAAAATGTAGCATAATAATAACGCACAATGAAAATATTGTAAATAAAAGGCTCAAATTATTGTTGGACTTATATAAAGCTGGACAAGTTATATATGTATATTACGGTTACAAATTGGCAATAACAATAATTATAATAATATAAATTGGTGATAAGGTGCGATATATATATATAATATAAATTTTTAAAGAAATTAAAAAATTTTCTAAACTCTAGTTTTTTCACTTTATTTTATGTTGATAAAAATAATACTGAACTACAGAATAAATATAAATTACAATTATATAATTTGAGTACAATTAAATGAAGAGTTGTAATTTGTAAAATGGGGGTTGGTCCGCTGTTAGGCGGACAGGGTGTACCACTCAAGTTATGTTAAATAAAATAATTGTTTTCTTTCCTTTTTTTTATAGGCAAGAAGGTGAAGAAGCAACTAGAAGGTTAGTAAGCTACTTATTACAAATATTGTAGCAACATTTTTGGTACTTTTAAATTTACAAATCATGATCTGATAAATTTTCATATAATTTTGTAAGCCTGTTATATATTTTATAATGTCTCTATATATTATAAATACATATGTAGGAAAAAAACTTCAATGAATATAAGAGACTTGGTCAACTAAGCAGACTAAGGTTTATTCTAGTACGCTCAGCACTGGTTGGATGACCACTTTTCTCATGTTGTAGCTGATCGGAATAGGGTATGAATTTTTGAAAAAATTTCTATTTTGAGGTTCCCTTTTGTCGAGGTCTTGCAACTAATATCTTTCGATTTAAAATTTTCAAAAATTACTGAATATAAATAATTTTGTTTGGACTTGTTATTGCAAGCTATCAAATTTCTATTATTAAAGTTTAAGAATAATGAACAGTCTTGCAAGTAGAGACATTAATGGTCAGAACTTTCCATCTGAAACTTATTGAAATATTAATTAATATTAGAGTTGTTGCTCTTTTCATTACTAACTATTTATGTTCAGGGGACTCCAAACTTTTTGAACCTTGGACCACATCAAGACCTCCACAAAGTCCGAAATCCTAAAGGTCGCATTGAGACCTCCACTAAGTTGTACTAATTTTCTATTTGAGGGATTTACCAAATTATATATTTTTTAAAGTTTTAAAATTTTACCATGTAATCAAAGAAACTTTTATGGGCGGTAGTTTGAAGATTCCTGGCTTAGTTGATTAATATTTTTCATAAATATCATCTGATTTATTTTAGATAGAATAATTTTAATATAACATTATAGTCCTATGGTACAGACCCCTTTTTATCGAATTATCAACATCCGCCTGAAACTTCGTAAATAGCTTCATCTCAACGTAACCTACAACTGTTTTATTTACGAAAACTCTTGGAATTGGGGTGTTTTCAATCTGAAGAGGAACAAACTTTGTTTATTTAATTAGGTACTAGAAACCCGTAAATAACCATTTATTTTCTACTTGGATCGTAAGATATATTGATCACAAAATTGATAAAAAAAGTGGCCTTCAAAAATATTGAGCTATTTGGCATGACCTGTACTACCAAATTTACAAAATAACGAGGTTATATAGGACAAACAGCCCACGAGTTTTTAGTATCTGGTTAAATAGACAAAGTTTGCCCCCCTCCAAATTGAAAACGACCCAATTCCAAGAGTTTTCGTAAATAAAATAGTTGTAGGTTACAATGAGATGAAGCTATTTACGAAGTTTCAGGGGGGGGGTGTTAATAATTTGATAAAAAGGAGTATGTACCACGGACTATTATATTTGCTTTCAAATGGTATATTTTCCACTATTTACTCATATATTCATTTATTGCTAGTAATAATAAACTTTTTACTTGTTTCAGAATTATCTGGGAAGAAAGGCGAGCTTCATACATCAAAATGTAAGTTGTTTGATATTGACTGTCAGTTTATCTTTTTGAACATTCTAGCCCTGAGATAACCGTGAACCCAGTGGAATAGACTGTTGTAGTTCCTAGTGATAGCAGTCTGTTTTAATTATTAATTAGCTGTTTTCATCAAAATGAATGAAAGCCAAAGTAATTTTGATAAATATGAGGATCATTTAACACTCTGAAGAAATACTATTGTATAAATAGAATTATATCTCCAAATTGTTTTACTTTGGCAACAACAACAACAACAATTATATCTCCAAATTGTTTGTTATCTTAAATTATTGTACTTTTTACTTCAAAATGAAATGATCCTCACACTTATAATTAATGTTTCATAATTAATTACAATTCACCATTTCTGATTTTTAATCATTAAGTTGTGATAAAAAAATTTTTAATTTTTTTTCTTTTTTTCAGACCACGCTAAGAGTATAGGTATGTTGAACATTTATATTTTAAGTATTTAATATTATGATTTTATAATAATTTATTTTTGAAATTAATCTAGCTCAATATTACAAAATAATACATTGTTATTTGATGATTGCATTTACTATTTCCATTATTTGTGAGACAATTCAGGGAACATGGATACCCCTTACATCGCTGTTACATAATTCATTGTCAAACAACTTTTTGTTTCTTTCTTCTGCATCAAGAATATCCTGTGTAAACTTGATTATCTCTATCCACTGATTCCATCACTCTTTACTCTTGGCATTCCATTCATTGTTTTAGGCCGTCAAACATTAGCTATTTAAATACTTACGTATCTATCCATTATCGATAATAACATCTTTATTTGATTTTGGTTTTTGTACTGTTCGTTTTAAATTTTCTGATCACCATGGTAGCAATAGAAGAGAAATTTAACATATTAATAGAAAAAATATCAGGTTTAGGAAAGAAACTAGACGAAAACAGAAAAAAATCACATAGAGGAAATTAGAGAGATAAAAACACAAGTTGATGAAATAACAAGAGAGAATCGCTTTATTATCATAAAATGGTGCTGCCGAATTACATTGGGTTGCTAAAAACACAGCATACTTATTAATCACTACAGACAATTTTTCAAATAATATAAAATTATATAGGATTAAACATATGTATGAGCATTATTACATATTTACTTACCATTCAGCACAGCAAATATTAACCTTTTAGGAATTCTCTCGTTACTAAGTCCAACAACTTTACAAGCCCATTTGATTCGCCACGATGAAATTATCTCAATTATATTACTTGGATACAGTTCACGCAATTCGGCGTTGTGTAATCGTCTGAACTCTCCGGTTAACTCATCCTTCTTCGGTCCGAATATTCTATGCAATACTTTATTTTCAAAAACCTTAAGATGCTGCTCATCCCTTAATGTAAGCGGCCAAGTTTCGCACCCATAAAGAACTGTAGGCAAGATAATTGTTTTATAGATTCTAATTTTTAAGTTTCGGGACAAGAGGCGCGAACTAAGTAGTTTTGTCACAGAAAAATAACAAGCATTTCCCACCTTCATTCTAACCTTAATTTCTTCTTCAATTTCATTTTTTCTAGTTATCGTAGAACCTAGATACCTAAACTTATCTACCTGTTCAAACATATTACCATCTATATCGTTATCACCACTAGTATCGCCATTTTTGCAGCTAATCATATATTTTGTTTTATCCACGTTTATTTTGAGTCCTAGTTCTTTACCGGCTTTCATTAACGTTGTCGTATTTAGTTTTATAGTTTCAAGGTCTTCGCTTAACAGTACCAGATCATCCGCATAGCCCAGCACGGATGTTGTCCCACCCAGATCCAACCCTTTCCCGGTACGCATTACCTCCCTAATGGCATGTTCTAATGCCAAATGGAACAGGACAGGCGAAAGGGAATCCCCCTGTTTTAAACCCGAATGAACCTCAAATTTTTAGGACAGATTATTACCGATTCTAACTTTATTGAGTGTCTCCGTCAAGCACATCCTGGCTAGATTTACTAATTTTTTAGGAATCCCCTGCTCGATTAGAATATTATACAGTTTCTGGCGGTCAATAGAATCGTAAGCCTTTTTAAAATCTATATACAGCTGGTGAACAATACCGCTGTACTCCAATTTTTTCTCTAATATTTGCCGTAAAGAAAATATTTGATCAATAGTCGAACGATTCCATCTAAATCCGCATTGGTAGTCTCCGATAATTTCCTCGGCATATTCTGTGATTCGACTGGTTAAGATTAAAGTAAATATTTTATAACATACCGGAAGGAGTGAAAAGTATAAATATATAAAAATTTAAACACTATAAAATCAATTGTCAAATAAATTTAGAATATAAAATCAATAAAAGGTTAAAAAGTATAAATCTGTCAAATAAATTGCCTATAAATAAGTTATAATATAGAATCAGTAAAAAGTTTAAAGTTAAAATTTAAAAACATTAATTGCCTAAAAATAAGTGAATGTTAAAAGTTAAAATCTAAAAAATGATTACCTAAAATGAGTTACAATATAAAATCAATAAACTGTTAAAATCTCAAAAAATAAATAAATAAAATAATAAAAATAATAATTGCCTAAAAATCAAAAAATAGAAATTTAAGAAGTTAATATCTGAAAAAACAACAATATATATACACCTATACACATCACATTATTAAATTTAATATATTGTCTAGAGTATAAAATACAATAAAAAATATAAGATCATTAAAGAATTAAAAAATCGGTTCACCAATAATAAATTAAAAAATTTGCACATATATTGGTCTACTATAATAATTTGATTTAAAACGTCATAGAAATAATAAACACTAAATTTTTTAAATTTATTTTTATGAGAGAAAGGAATTGAATATATAAACTAGGTAACAGTAAAATTAGTTGTGCTCCTTCGATGATTGTATCGATAAGACGACACTGACCTTGCTGAGAGGTGGAGGTGGCCGACAAGTACCAGGCTGCAGAGCGATAAGAACTCTGGTCCCGCAAGCACATCAACTTCATTGCCTTCTGTTCGTGGCCAATATCCTAGCTCAATTTTCATAAGATTTCATGTGTAGATCTTTAACATACAGCTCCGCCCAGGTGCAAAATTTCAGCTCTATTGGACGAAAAATACCCAATCGTAGACGATGATGACGTGGAGCCGATCTTTCTTTCTCACTGGCTCGAGCCGAACTCAAAACTTTAGGAAAAGAGAGGAAAATTTCACTAGAAGGAAAATATAATTACATTTTTAATGATGTAGAGATGGTTGACCGTTGATATAATATGAGAAGGAGTTAGTCGAGGGTGCGGTCAAATAAATAAAAAAAATTAAAATATATAAATTATTTTAATTTTTACCTACGTTTCGACCCACTTTGCAGGTCGTCTTCAGGGTGTAGGATGTGGCACTGCGGGAGGCAGTTGAAACACTGGCCGGTGTTTCAACTGGCCAGTGTTTCAACTGCCTCCCAAAGACACACTCTCGCAAATAAGAAAAGGCCAATAGAAATGGGCTGGACATCCTCTGTGATGCTATGACAATAGATGGTCAAAAATAATCTTCAAATGGACTCCATATGAGCGGAAAAGGATGAGAGGCCGACAAATGAAGAGATGGAGAGATCCATTTAGGCTTTTGGCAGGACCTCTCTGGCGGAGAGCAGCTAGGGACAGAGATGTGTTGAAAGGAAAACGGTTAAATGTCAGAAATCCCGCTTCCCAGTAGGGCTAGTCACCCAGGGAACTGTTAAAGACTGTTACTCCTAAGAGAAGGCCTATGCAAGATAGTAAAAAGTTTTGTATAAATTATAATAATGTAAAAAATTGTTTTGTTTTCTTTTGTAATTGTATGTTTTCATAGAAATTCTAATATTTATGCATAAATAAAGGCTATTTTCATTTCATTTCGTGTGGAAGATGTTATTAATTACAATTCACCATTTCTGATTTTAATCATTAAGTTGTGACAAAAAATTTTTAATGTTAATTTTTTTTTTTTTCAGACCATGTTAAGAGTACAGGTATGTTAAACATTTATATTTTAAATTCTTAATATTATGATTTTATAATAATTTATTTTTAAATTAATCTAGCTCAGTATTACAAAATAATACATTGTTATTTGATGATTGCATTTACTTGTGAGACAATTCATGGAACATGGGTGTTCCTTCCATCGCTGTTACATAATTCATTGTCAAACCAGTTTAACTTTTTGTTTGTTTCTTCTGCTTCAAGAATATCCTGTGTAAACTTGATTGTCTCTATCCACTGATTTCATTACTCTTTGCTCTTGGCATATTTCCTCTTAGCATTTTATCGCGATCCTTCACAGAAACTCAATACCTTTATTTTTTTTTTACTACTCCTGGTGAATCAGGACCTTCTGACGTGTCAACCACAAAAAAGATTTGTCGCTTTTGATTTAATTTAATTGTGAAGCCTTGAGATATATTATAATAAAAATAATTTCCTAAATACACTTTTTATGTACAAATTTAACAAAATAAATAATAATGATTTGTTCAATACTTTTCATGTAAAGTGTTTGCGAAATTGTATTTTTCTCCCAGATCTCTGTCGAAGAAGTTGATCCTTTGAAGGAGTTAATATGAACTTAAAGCTTATTACATGAAGAAGTTTTTTTAAAAGTGGGGTACCTGTAGTGTAGTTGGATAATGATAAAAAAAAAAAAAAAAATGCCAATAATTTAAGATTATTTTTTTTAAACAGAACTTAGACAAGTTTAGCCGCTCAAAAGTCCTCTTTAAACGGTTTTAACAATGACCAGTTCTATTTTCATTTGAAGAAAATTTCATCTAGTTTACAATGAAATAATTGTTAATTACTTAAATTAAATATTTCTTCAGTTATCGCTTTCTATTCATCAAAAACTTGATTTACTTTAAAAAACACTAAACTTGGATTTTCTTCTTTTCTGTTGATAATTGGCCCATTGGTTATGAACTTTTTTGTAGGCATTGAGGTCTGCTATAAAAATTTTCCTCTACTTATGGGACACCCTGTATAGTGTATTACACATTTTATTATTCATAACACACTTCATTCATAAATACACTTCATTCATAAATTCATAAATTATTCATTATTCATAAATACAGTTATGAATTTATAAGAATTATTTTAAATTTTAAAGTTTTTCTTATTTTTTTTAATCTGTTGAAACTTGTAATGAACACTTGTTATTTTTTTTTTTTCAGAATCTATCAACAAGAGTAAAGGTATGTTTAATATTCATTAATTCAGTTATATTTATGTTGTTTTGTTGTAAAAAGATAATAATTAAAAAAAATATATATATATATATATATGTTTGTGAAAGGTTTCTTCATAATTTCTTATAAGTGATCAAGAAAAAGAACAAATCATTATTTATATATTGTAATGCAACATCTTTATTCTAATATATATTTTATCTATATTTATTAAGTCTTCTAATATTTATTAACTATTCTAACATTTATTAATTATTAGTCTAACTTATTATTGAAAATTGAGTGGTTTCTTATCAAAGCCAGACATCTCTTGTTTTCAGAATGTAGAGAAAAAGTCAATTTTTGTTTAATATGTTCAACTCAGATTGTTTCTAATGATTTTATTTAAGAATATTCAAGTTGAATCATGAATATATATCACAAAAATTGTCTTTTTCTCATCTTTTTAAAAATGGCAGATGTCCTTTGATATGAAGCCATTCAATTATATGATGACTTTAAATAATTACACAATATATATAAATACCTCACCTGGATTGATTATTTTACCTCCTGATACCTCTTAAATATTTGAATAAGTATTCAAGTATAATATAAATACTACAAGAATATAATTGTACAAATATTTATAAATACACAATTCAAAATGTGCAGTTTATAAAAATAAACACTACACATAAATAACTTTACAATACATTATCAAAATAAAAAAGTATTCTAATTATAAAAACCCTTCTAAAATACCTATCCAATTAATTATTAACACATTTATAAAGTGTTAATCCTCTCATAATAGTTATAATATATACATATTTAAAATAAGATGAGTTGGTAGACTTGAATAGAGTTGGTAGACTTGCTGTCTTCCATGTGTCCAATCAGAGAGCTGGAAACAGAGATGGTCAGTGCCGGCCTTAGGTGGAGAGGGCCCCAGATCCTCAGTAGCACTCGCCACTTGTCAAAAATTAAAAAAAAAAAAAAATTAAAATATGCAATCAATAAAACACGTGTATTTGAGAAATTTGGAATGAAATAAAATTAAAATATTGCATAATAGAAAACAGCTTAAAAAATAAATCAAAATTTGTTTAGGGGGAAGGGAGATGACCTCATTACCCAGTGGCGCCGAATGTCTAAGGCCAGCACTGAGTGTGAGTGTGGTACATAGATCCTTCTAAAAGTATGCTACATTTACACAGTTGTGATGTTAATACATCTCATTATAATAGGGTAAGTCAAAAAGTATAGAGTTTTGGTTTCCCTCCGAATCATCTGTATGGGCAGCACTGATTGTTCTGCTATAACTCATAACATCTAACAACTGTTCATTGAAAGTATAGTTTTATTGGTAACTAGCTACTTGTGATCGTGTTCAAAATGAGTTCTCCTTTGTCTCATTACACCAAGGAAGGATTGAGAACAGTGATACGTTTCCTCTATTCAGAAGGTATGAAACCAATTATTTGTTGAATGCAGCAGCGATATGGAGAGACTTGTTCTAGTGGAAATATGGAAGTAGTGGAAGATGGTTTGATCACTTTAAATAGTTATATTTAATATATATATAACATATATATTAGGTATATATATATATATATATAACATATATATTAGGTATATATATATATATATATATATATATATATATATATATATATATATACACATACACGCACCCACACACACACATGTATGTATTTATTCTATTTTTTATCATTAGCAGATATGTATATTTATTTATCTACTAATGATAAAAAATTGAATAGCTATTGTTTGGTAAATCATATCCTTTTGTTTCAGATTCGTCTGAAGAATCAGGTATGCCTTAATTAATTTATTTATTTACTATAATTATTTATTAATAAAATAAATAAATTCATTACAGACTGATTATTGTTCTGAATGATAATTATGGATATTTTTTATTTTTTAGGTTCCCTTAAGAGAGGAGGTATGTTTAATATTGATTGATTATCACTAATTTATTATCTATTGGAGTTTATTGATAATAGTTTTATGCTTTATAATTTTTAATAAAATTTTATGGTAATGTTTCTTTCTTTTATAGAGCTGATATTTGTTGAGTTATAAAAAAAAAATGTATTTTTTCAGGTACTCGTAACAACAGATCTGGTATGTTGAAAGTTGACTGATATCAATGAATTTTTAATACTATGGTCGATTGAGGATTACGTAAATGTGCAACAGTTTGCTAATTTAATATTATCATAAATTGATTTCTAAGCTTTAAAAAAGTATTAATTATAGATTAAATGATTTTTTTTTTAGGTTTTTAACTCAAGCAGTACATTGAACTTTGCCTTACTGAAATAATTTTATTTTCGATAAATTGGTGTATTGATTAAGTTAATGGGCTATAGGAATTCTTTCAATATATATGGCATTAGTTTTCAATTTTCTTTTGGAAAAATTAGATTCAACTTTAAGTAGTTCTTAGGACCTAAATAAGATATATAATTTTATCAGCTCTGGTGCATCTACAGGTGTGGCTTTTGGGCTGAACCTTCCCCCCTCAAAATGGAAAATAATTTTTTTTTTATTAGTCCATTTGCGTAGGTGAGTGATCTAAGCTGAATACTTCAACAATTGCAGTATATTCTCTATTTAAATTATAATGATTTAAATAAGTAAGATTTAGCAATTAAGTAATTTATCTCTCAATAGCATTATTGTTCCTGTTATTACCTTTTTTACTTTGCTACCACTACTAGGTAAGGAAAGGCATTGCGATCTAAGTATTTGACCAGTCTAATTCTTAGTATCCTGCGATGAAATTATAGCTAGGTGGGATGACCAAAATTAATTAGCAGGGATTCAGTTTTCAGCAATATGGGTGCTGAAAACTAAATTTTTCCATGTTTCATGAACTAGTTTTTAGCAACCGTTTCAAATTATAATAAAAAAAGTTCTTGGCTGTTTTTATATTTTAAACTAGCAAGGATGTATACAGAATAAGATGAAAAAGTTAAATTCATAAAAATATCAGTTCATACCTTACAATTCCCTGGGAAGTAAATGTGCTTTTTGGGTTACACGTGTTGGAAACCTTACTTTCAGAGCGTTTTTTTTATCATCAAAACGAAATAAATGGTGATATATGCTATGTTATACTAGCACAGAAGGGATTCACGCTTTGAATGAGCCCCTTTCGTTAGTTCTAAGCCATTCCAAAAGCTATATACAAAAACTATATATTCTAAATAACCGCTGATGGGTGCCGAAAACTAAGGGATTGCCTGAAACTGGAGGTTTCAGAGACCATGTATTTCGGGAGCAGGTATACTATAGTTTTACATGAAAATCCATTGTCTATTGAGGACCCCATAACCAGTATCATTTTATTTTTTGTCCTCCCCTTCCTCGCCTTTTAGGCTATACAGGGGTATTTCCCAAAGCATGGATGAGGGAGGGAGATTAATGCCAGAGTTAAAAGCCCCTCATTGCATTGGGATGTTTCTGTTTATCTGATTGCTGATAGGTCCGCTCAGCCAGCTCTCGCCTCCCCCATAATCAGTGTGACTATTGAGTGTCTACGCCACAATTCAAGTTTTTACTGTTATTGTTACAATTATTGTTGTTACTTCCTGCCAAGATGTTGGCAGTTTGCTCATCATTTATCTCATTATTTTCCTGATTTGAAACTTAAATCTTACCAAATAAAAACACTTTTAAGATGTAACTGAATATCCAAGAGTTTTTCATTATTAATAGTTTTTCTTACCAATTTGTATGCTGGCCATTATCCATGATAATATTTTGTTTATATTTTTTTTTCAGTTTTTGCAGAAGATAGGGAGAAAAGGAAAGGACAAAGTATGTTGAACTTTTTTTTTTTGTATTTATTAAATTTTTTATTTAATAAAATTTATAACTATAACTATATTTATCAACAATACAACACGTAAATGTGAATTGTTTTATAACACGTTTAGACTTGAAGAGAAACTACCCATTGGAAGCACTTCACTTAAAGTTCTATATTGGAAGGTCCTGAGGCTGTCTTTTCAGAAACCTAGGATGGTTGTCTGGAATAAAATAGTACGCAAGGTTAGAAACTAGTGGATTTGGATAGGCTTGAAGTTTATTATGGAAGAATAAGTATTTGCTTTGGGTTAAATCAGCCAGCAACATGTGGAAGACTAAGGTCATTATGGATAATTTTATTTGTGACAAAGTAAGAAGCAGTGAGGATTTTGGATTGTTAGGTTGGATGCAAGATAAATTTGAAGGTTTAGAGGAGCCCCAAAGCTGAACTACTTAAGTTCAAATAGGCCCTATAATGATCAAGTAAATGATTCTTTTTATTAAATGGTAGTTTGGAGCATTCTAAATCCTAGGAGAGTCCAGTAGAGTATTATTGAAGGATAATGTAGGACAGGATGGCATATATATATATATATGCATGTTTTCAACTTTGCTGTAGTACGAATTTTGGATGATTTTACATTTGGGTATAGGATCTGTTGCTTGATGTTAAGAAGTATTAAAAAAGTGTGAAATGGTATTTACACTATTTTCTCTATTCACCCCCTCATCTCATCCCCTAAACTATGAGATAGGTTGCAGACACCTTTGTGTAAACCAACAGGCCTCTGGTAAGAGTTGTGGTGTAAAATAATTAGAAATTATCGATTATTACTAACAATAATTAACAAATTATAAATAAATAATTTTTTGTTATTTATCAAAATTGCATGAAAAAGATAAAATTATGCTTTATGTGGTCATCTGATAACAATACTTAAAGAAGGATTTTCCCTGTGTTTCATCATTTGCAAAACAAACTCCATGAGAATAGTTTGAATTTTTTTATTATTATTAAATAAATTGAAGAGAAGAATATTTGGGGTGATCAGTCAAATAAGAAGGCAAAAATAAATGATAATATTTATTTTGACATTTGCCGACGTTTCGACCTGAAGTTCAGGTCTTCATCAGGTCTAAGAAAAGAACCATATAAAAAGGTATGAGAAACAAGTAGTGTAGGTAAAAAAAATTAAAGTAAAATGCAGTTGTTAGAATAATGACAATAGTAAGAACTAAGAGATAAATGATAATAACTGGTACAAAGTTTGGAATGATGAAGTGAACATAATCAAAAAAGGTGACATAAGTATTAAAATGGGAATCTTAGAATAAAATGTAAAACAGAAAAATATGAAGTTATATAAGAAATGGAAATAAATAGTAAAATTAAGATATTGCGAATAGAATAGTTAGATAGAAAATTGAGATATTGTAAAATCTATCAAGATGTACAGACAGCATATGATATAATAAAGGGTTAAAACAGAGAAAAGGAATGAAAGGAAGGAGGAAAGAAACTGAGAAGGCTGAAATAAGAAAGAGAAATCTGACTCCAAAGGCGTAAATCGGAGCAATGAGCATGTTAATCAGGGAGGGGGTGCAGAGAAGGGATGTATAGTGGCGTCATCTCCAACAGTTATCTGACGAAGGTTGAACTAAAGTACCGGAAGCGTAAATAAGGGCAAGAGATATAGTACTCATAAATAGTATGGATAATTAAACAAAAGTTTAATAGAAAGAGGCAATAAAATAGTATAATATAAAATAAATAAATAATTTATAAATAATTTATAAATTTATAATAAATTCAAATAGTTGATAGAAATTCTGGAGAGGCAATAAAACAAAATATATTTAATAAATATTATCATTTACTTTTCCCTTCTTATTTGACTGATCACCCCAACAATTATTAAATAAATTATATTTTAAGGGCTATTTATCTAATAATTTTAAAATGGTTTAATTTCATGATTCGAAGAGATACTTTAATAATAACTCATTACGATTAAGCAATAATAATTAGTTTTATTGGCAGCCATGATGCAAAAATGAACAAAAACGCATAACTGTGTGTGTTGCTGAAAACTGTGTGTGAAAGTGTTAGGATTAAATATGCTATAATCAGAGGAAAGTTCATCTAAATTCATTTAGATGACTAAACCTAGCATGACGAAGAAAGTCAAGGAATTCGTGTTTTGGTTTCGTTCAGTTGGCCAATATGGAGCCACTTTAGAAGAATTTTAGAAATAGACTACATCAATTTCATCTGTGAGATTTAATGGTCCTGAAACTCAGTCACTGATGTTTAAGTCTATACTGAGTATTATAAATAATTTTAGAAGTATAAATTTTAAATAATTGAAATAAACAATTGTAGTGGGCTAATTTTACATTACCACAAACTTCAGGACTGTATTAAATTTTTTTCAGGTGCTGAACAAAGAAGAAAAACTGGTATGTTGAAAGTTGACTAACTAATATCAATAAATTTTTTATACAATGATGTAATTTATAAATGGATTAAAATAAATATCTTGTATCTCAAAATCCAACTTCCGAGGTAATTATTTCAGCACTTTTTTGATTAGGGGCTCAATTGAGTCTTATAACTTCTTGAAAACATCCACAACATTATAACATAGTAAAAAAATAACATTGAAAAATATAAAAAATTGCACATACTAAGTATTGATGAATACAATCCTAAATAAAATAAATATGAACCACTTTCCTAATTCAACATTATCTTAACTGTTTTTCTAGTTAATTATTATTTTTTTCAGGTGGCGAACAAAGGAGAACAACAGGTATATTAAAAATCGACTTACTAATATCAATAATTTTTTGTAATATGATGTGTATTGTAATGGTTTTATAGTTTCTGAAATAATTATCTTTTAATTTATTGTATTTTTTTCATAAATTATTTTAAATTAGAAATAATTTATTTTTATATTTAAAATAAAAATTTTATAAAAAAAAAAAAATAATTTCTTCAGAAAGAAAAAGAAGACGGATTGATTTAAGATTTGTGTAATGCCTGTGAATTATATATATAATGTTAATTGAAATTATAAAATAAATATGTAATGTTAATGTGAATTATATATAAAATGTTATTATACAATAACCATATACCATTAAATTAAATTGGGAAAATTACAACTTTTTAAATGAAATACTAAATTATCTTACTCCTCCGTTATTCTAATGCCCTCTTAAAGCATATTTGATGCAGCACTTTGATAATTCAACATTTAATTGCTGCTGAACAAAATATTTTGAAAGTTTAACTAACACAAATGACGTTCTTTTATAGTATAATATAATATATATAAATTAAATGTGCAACGTTGGTAATTAAACATTTTTGTAAATTGTTTCCAAACTTTTGAAAAGTATTTTATTTTTTTTTTTGGTGTTGAAGAAAAGAGAGCAACAGGTATTTTAAAAGTTGATCTTCTAATATCAATTATTTTTTTATAATATGGTGTAATATACACCTAGTAAATGTGCAATTCTTTGCTAATTCGTCATTATTTTAAATTGTTTTGCAAATTTTTGAAATGTATATAATTTTTTTCAGGTGAAAGGAGGAGATCTCCAGGTATGTGAAAAGTTGACTTATTGATAACAATGATCTTCCTATAATCATGTATACATATATAGATATAATTAAATTTATATATATATATATATATATATATATATATATATATATATACACGATTATAGGAAAATCATTGATATCAGTAAGTCAACTTTATATATACATATATATATATATATATATATATATATATATATATATATATATATATATATATATATATATATAAAAACTTAATGTGCAGCTCTTTATTGATTTAACATTATGGTAAATTTTTTATAAGTATTTAGTTTTTTCAGGTGTTGAACAGAGGAAAACATCAGCCACATCAGGAACATCTGGAGGATCAGGAGGATCGGGTATGTTTGAAGTTGACCGATTAATATCAATGATTTTTTTTTTTAATAATAATACTTTATTTATTCTGAGGCGAGTCCCTTTAAAACTTTAAAATAATACAGGGAGGGTATGGGTGGTTGTAGAAAGGGATGAGTTCCATAGTGGTGAGGATCGGATAACAAACGATCTGTCGAAAACAGCTGTTCGGTGGGCCCTTACCTATAAATCTGAAGAGCGGGAACGAGTATTGCGGGAACGAACAGAGGATTTGAATTGAAGGAGCTCAGAGGTGTATGAAAGATGGCGGGATTGGATCATTTGAAAGAGGAAGGATGCCAGGAAATACGATGGTAGCAAGGATAAAGCCACTTCAACTCTGCATAAAAACGGAAAACAGTGGCGTCCCTTGGGATCCCGAAGATGAATCGTATAAAGCAATTTATCAAACGTTTTAGTTTCACCTTGAGATCTCCAGAGACACCGCCATATACCGTACAGCAATAGTCAAAGTGGGGAAATATTAAGGAGGTGACTAGGAGCCTATGGGTTTTGAGGAGAAATAGGTGATGGAAATAATTTAGACGTTTAAAGGTGGAATAAGTAAGGCGGGAGATATTGGATACATGGTTTTTCCAGGAAAGCATTTGATCAAAGGTTATTCCAAGGTTTTTGATGGTGGGGTAAAATTTAATGGGATTATCATGTAGGAACAGAGTTAGAATATTAGGAACAGTTTTAAGGAGGTGATTGGAGCCTAATAAGATTGTCTTCGTCTTTTATGCATTGAACTAAAACCTGCTAGCTGTCGTTCAGTCACAAATCCTATCCGAGTGGGGTAGGTCAGGGTTAGGGTACTGAGCTTCCAATGCCAAGGGCCCAGGTTCAAATCCTGGCTTATGGCAGAATAATTATTTATTCTGTTTCATCGGCCATGGGACGATCTTGGGATCGGGAGACCCTCTCAGGGCATACCCAGTCTCTATAAAGTGGATACCCTTAATTAAATAATTAATTAAGGGAGGAAACCTGGCGGTTAAGTGTGATTTCGGTCATATCACCTCCTTGCACAACCGTTGATCAAAAAATATTTCCTAAATAGTACTGAACCCAAGAGCAGCCTTCATGGATTATAGTGGTTCAGGTTTTTTTTTTTCTTTTTTATCCTATGACATGGAGGCGTCTATCCGATGCCAGAGCCAGAGATAGAGTGGTGCTGTTTATGAAAGATAAAAGTTGCATAAAAAGCATAAAAGATGCAGTGATAATTATAGTAACAGATCTCCATCTCACCTTTAGAAAGTCTATGATCATTCAGATATTATGCCCCAAATGATGATTCTTCCATCAATGATAAAGACCATGAATCAAATAAGAAATTAAAACAGGAAAATAATAGAAGTACCGTAAATAAGGTGTTTCTTGGTGAATTTGACAGATAAAGACTGCAAAATTATTATTCTTTACACCACCAAATTTTGTAGGCACACTCTTTAATGTAATTTACAAATTCTAACCAAAATTTGCATTTAAGGAACAATTTTAACTTTACATATAGAAGATGAGCACAGAGACATTTAAGACTATACACAACCAGGACCAGACTCCTACTAGTAAATATGGTAATCCCACCATTTTTGGCAACTAATGGCCAATATGTATGTCCTTGGTGGTATAAAAGGTACACACCTATTTCCTTGAAAGGTCAAGAGAAATGGTTGAGGAGAACCTAAAGAAGAACAAGCACTTCTTACTTTCGAGGATCCTCTAGAAAACCTTTGGGCCAGTTAGAGAGAGGAATATATGGCAGAGAAGGAAAAATCGAGAACTTCAGGAGCCCTACAAAGAGTTAAATGTGATCAAGTTTATTAAGATTAGAAGGTTACGCTGGACTCGCCATGTTTCTCAAATGGATGGTTCTGAGATTCTCCAATTACTAATGTCGGAGAAATTCCACTGGACTAGTAGTACGATGGCTTGATGGAGTGTCTGTGGATGTAAGAGACCTACAAATCCGGAACTGGACAGCTGCATCCCAGGACCATGCCAACTGGTGGAGGCTTTTAGAAGCCTTTGATGGGTTGCTGCACCAGATATGATGATGATAGGGAACAACTAGCAGCAATTAGACAAGACCCAGGATCATATTTCAGCCCTAAGGACAATAACAGAGAAAGAATGGAACAAGAAGAAAATTTTACATGTAGCATTTTTAGATTTGAAGGCCGTCTTTGAATCTGTGCCCCAATAAATAATTTAGAAAGCCTGGTGAATAAAACAATACCTAACCAGCTCACAAGTGCAATAAAGTCAATATACCAGGATCTAAAAAGTATCGGTAATTCAGGCTGAGTGGATGGAAATCAAAACCTTTCAGGTTTTATAAGGGTGTCAAACAGGTAGAAAGCCTCTGCCCATTTTTTTTCCCTATCATTTTCATAGTTGAGATTGTAAATAACCTTTCGTTTGTAGGAGATCTTAGTTTTTGATATTCGTAAGTTAATTTTAAAACTAAACTCCAGCTCTGGATCAAACTTTTTGAGGGTGTCTATTGTCTATTGGAATTTCGGAGAACTGATTGTTTAGTGGCAATAATAATAAGTATAAATGAAATTTTAGAAATGGTGAATACTCTTAAAATGATTTGACTCATTAGGTTTTTTGTCTATCTTCTGTCGTCTTAATGAAAGCTGTTGAGGCATGTATGTTAAAACTAAATAAAAAGGAACACATTCACTCCTGACCAACAAAACTAATTTATTTTAACAAAATGTAAATAATAATGATTTAAAAGTCCTATGCGTCTAGTAGGCTTGACCTTTCTCTTCTTAATACTCCAGTAGAGTGGACCTCTCTCACGCAGTCACAACCTCTCTTCTCTTTCAAGTCAGCATCCGTCTCTGGTTGCTGCAACCTGCTAGATTGTACAAGAACTTATAAATACAAATGATATAGAATTAGTTGTTAAAATCCTACGGAAACTACAGGTACCATTAAATGAATGGAATGAAAAGCTATTATTGAGAAGAATTGCTATTATTGCTAAGAAAAGAAAATGTTGATTGGTAGGAATGATGATAACAAATTGGTAATCTGTTATGGGGCACCTCTCCAATTTGTAGATACCTATATGTACCTGGGAACAATAATCAGCAGAAATGGAAAAGTGGACCATGAGGTACTTAATATAGTAAAAAAAGTAGTAAAATGGAGAACACTATTTAAAACAGTATTCTTATCAGTTTTGCTCTTTAAAATAGACAGTTGCACAGTCCCAGATTGACATGTGACCAAAGTGACTGCAACAGAAACAAAGTGCCTGAGAAGGATCTAGGAAAACACGAAAGGACTGGATTCGCAATGAAAGTATCCTCATATCCTCACCAATTGGAAAGGTAATCAAGCAGCGTCAACTTGAATAGTATGATCATGTGAGTGTACTGGAATATTAAATGGTTAATGGAGAACAGACCCGAAGAAAAGCACTCATGAGGTCGAATAAGGCAGTTGTTTTCGGATTACCTCACCAGGCTTAGGAGAGTAATAGGCTGCTTTCTCATGAAAATGAAGAAGTAGAAGGCAAATGATCATGACAATAGGAGAAGATAACCAGAGGCTAAACCTCCACTTCCTACGTCCAACTTGAAAGTGTAGAAAGGAGGAAAAGAATAAAGGAAGCAAAATGGAGTTGCTTTTCGAAATTGCCATTCTAACCCTACCTCTCCCCCCTTCCCCTCACATAAAGTAAATGTGCTGCAACACTTAATTAATTCAATATTAAATAGCCGCTGAATAAGGAGACCATCAGCTATATTAAAAGTTGACCTACTAGTATCAATGAACTTTTTATCATACGATGTAATATATTTAAAATAAATTTGTAACACTTTGCCTATTCAACATTATTGTAAATTGTTTTACAAACTTTTGAAAATTATTTAACTTTTTCAGGTGAACAAAGGAGAGGACCATCAGGTATGTTTAAATTTGACAAATATATGAAAAATAGCAATGATTTTTTTTATAATGTGAAAGTAAATACTAATTCATCATTAATATAATTTGTTCTTTAGAGTATTTAATTTTTTCAGGCGAACAAAGGAAAACAACACAAGGTATGTTTAAAGTTGATTAACTAATATCGTTGATTTATTTATTATAAGATGTAATATAGAAAGTAAACATACAACACTTTAGTAATGAGTCATTCCACGTCAAATCCTGTTATGGAAACTCTGATCTACATATTTTTTTTCTGTTGGCATTACAGACCGTGTAGATTTTTTGCCGCCTTAACAAGCCTGCTCCATCTCTGCCTGTCTCGGGCTATTTCTTTCCATTTATCTGCACGCAGCTCTATTGCATCTTTGTTGATTCTATCTATCCATTTGGTTTTTGCCCATTCACGTGTTCTTTTGCCTTCTATTGATGCATTCATTGTTATGTAGAGGCTTCCAGATGGATTGCTCCGAGCGACATGCCCTGTTTCCGTTCCTTCATATCATGAGATATTAATTGATCAATTTCTGTAGCAGTTCTTTATCGGTCCTTCTTCTCCATGTGTTAGTACCATTTTTCCATATCACTCCGGTTATTGTATGCAGGATTTTTCTATAAAATCTGTCAACATTTTTTTCTAGGGTGCTGGTTAGAGTCTCGCAGTCATATATTAGAACTGCCTCTATCATTGCAAGATACAACCTTAATTTGCGATTTATTGAAATTTTTCGAGATTTCAATATATTTGAAAGGAAGAAGAAAGCTCTGTTTGCACTTGTTATATGCTGGTCTATTTCTGCCCATTGGTCATTTATTTAAGTTACTGTGGAGCCGAGGTATATGAATGAATTTGTCTACTCTCGGGAATGTTTTTCCTTTTAAGCAGATCCTGTTATTTGGGTGGAATTTTCGGCTTATTATCCTATATTTTGTTTTGTCTTGATTTACTTGTAGGCCGACCTTCTCTGCCACTCAGAGGCTTAGCAAGTTTCTCAATGTCCTCTTGATTTCTTCCAAGTACAGCTATATCATCTGCGTATCCAAGGTAAAATAGTTGCGAGCGCTATTCCTCTCTCAACCATATTAATTGATTTGCATAGAGGATTTACTTACTTATTTCTTTGGAGTGAGCATATTTTGCAAGAGACATGAAGAACCTCGATATCCTATATAGTGAAATTTAGCTGTTTCTGTAATTTGAGATTAGGCAACAATAATGGGCTGAGCCAAACAAAAAAAAAAAAAAACAAAAAAAAAAAGAGTTATAGCAATTTGAGACTAGCTGCATGTTATTGAGAAAGGCCTGAAAAGCAGCCTAAATGCCAGTCATTAATAGTGAAAATCAATATTAATAATTGTGGCTGCTTGCAATGACATTTTGCTTGCCTAAAATTGTTGAAATTAAAATTTTTTTTTCTGGTGGTACTATTCAATTTTTGAAAATTTATTTTAAAAAATTAATCCAATAAAAAAATATATTTGTTATACCATTAGTTTATAGCAAAAAGTTGCTAAGTGCATTTTTGATATAAGTTATTAACTTTAAAAAATATTTTTATTTATTCCAACTTTATATATCGATACAAAATCACAGTAAGGACATGAAAATGAAACAAACCCTTTTATACATCAAATATAATTACAATAAGCACATAATTTTCTGATATCGTAAAGGAAAAGTTGTTTGAAGTTCTTAATTAGTTAAGGTTATGAAATATCACTTAATGACTTTTTGCAATAAACCGATCATATGTTCAGTTGGTATAACTTATGCTTAAAAAATCATGTAAATCGGAAATATAAAGATCAATACCCTTGATAATTTCAAATGTAACGACCCTAATTAAGTATTATAGTATTAGTATAACTGTTTTTGAAATTTTTAACCAGTATTTAATTTTTTTTTTTCAGCTGAACAGAAGAGATCATCAGGTATGTTTGAAGTTGACTAACTAATATCAATGATTTTTTTACAATGTAATGCAATTTCTATAAAGTAAATCTGCAGTACTGAGCTAATTCATCATTATAAATTGTTTTTGCAAACCTTTGAAAATTATTTAATTTTTTCAGGTGGTGAACGAAGGAGAACAACAAGTATGTTAAAATTTGACTAATTAATACCAATAACTTTTTTTTTTTATCACCTTGAGTGATCAACAATAATTATTTGCACATTACCTTACCAATTTAAATATTATTGAAGGATTTTCTATATAATAGGGAATTGGATTTAAAGTAAATAGTAATTTTTAATTTTGTTTTAAATTTAAAATTGTTTTTGTAAGTTTAAAAAAAATGATATATTACTGAATTGAAAAAAAAAAAAAAACGTGGGGCGCGCATCACACAACTTTCACTTACCAGTCTTAGAATAAATAAGCATTTTCATATATAGAGATGCCAAAGTGAAAACAAGGATATAACTTTATTTAAAACAATTAGTTACCATGTTTTTCCCGCTTATCGAATCGTTTAAATTTATACATTTGCATCATTTTCCATTTTCTTTTATATCTGTGTATAGTACCCGACAGTAATAATAATTGTGGAGTAAAATGGATCTTTTGAAAAAGTTCTGAGTTTTATAGGAAACGTTTATCACAAAACTCGCAAAAAATAACTTAATGTTAGTAAATATTCTATATTAGTAGATCTTCAACATTTCGCATGAAAACCTTTTAAAAAAATTATGGATAAGTGACATATAAAAGTTAAACTAACAAAATGAAAGCCTTGTACAGAGGGGTATCGGGTATCTGTAAAGGGAGAAGATCGGCAAAGGTCAGGTGCTCTTGGCTGTTCCCGTAAAGATTCCAACTCTTATTTCACTTAATTACCAATCAATTTTCTTCATCCCTTATATTTAATAAGTTTTATATCAGTTTGAAATGTGGAATGGTTAATTATTTCAAATAAAAAAAAATTAAGGTACTTTATGGTAAGATATTTTGAAAATTAGACATTTAAACACTGTTACAGAACATCAACGAGACTAAGACATACATTATATTAAAAACCGCTTAATTTTATACTAATAAAATGAATTTAATCAAAATCTTTATAGCCGTTTTCGAGAATATTGTAAACATCTGTAAAATTGATTATTTAAAGTAGTACTTCTAGTTAGCCAATTTTGACAAAAAAGTTGCGTATGGCTTTTCGTTTTTGAGCTAGACTGTTCACATATAGACACACACACAAACCATTTTGCGAGACTTGGTTATTTGGACTCAGGGGACCTCAAAAACATTTGGTGAAAACTCAGATTCGAAAATTTTATACACTACTATATTTTACATATATAGAGAAGTGAAAGTAAACAAAGAGTTTATTAAATATAGACAAATTAATCTACTTATTTCAATAATTAATATAATGTTATATTGTAAGCACATAATTAAAGTACTACTTATTTAAGCATTATTATTTTGATGAAATTTGTAACAATGACTAAGATTTTATTTATTTTTTTCAGCTTCTAGCCGTAGGAATTATGTTGGTATGTTGAAAATTTACTAATTATTATTACTGAATATTTATTATCTTAAGATTATAGTTATATCGGAATCTACTTCAAAGTTAAGGTTTCCTTCTTGAGTGTCATTAGGTTAGAAGTTAATTATTGGTAAGTTTCTTGCTCCTAAAAGTCATTGCTATAAAAACTGTCATTTATATTTCTTGTATCAACGGAAATTAAAAATTTTTTTTTCCATCATTTTGAGGTTTTGATGCAATCTTAATCACAATTAACTCTATGATTTGTTTGATTTTGTATTAAAAGTAACAGTGAACCAACATCTTCATTCTCTATGTAGAATGTTTTTTTATAATATATGTTAAATATCATGGCTAGCTGAAGTGCGCAGCTAGTGAAGATTAACAATCCATTGGTTTCACGACTGTATAAATAGATATACAAAACAGTACACACTTCATTATTCTAGGATCCCACCTCATAGGAAGCTGCCCTCTTTGTGAGAGCTAGTCAGGATGATCTAAGGAGGCAGCCCATCTACCTGATTCAGGGACAATGGGCTGATGAGTTGTTCTCCATAAATTTATTTCTTATGAGACCTGAAAAAGATAATTCCAGTAGATAAAACGTAAGAGACGTGAACAATGTCAATTGGACTTCAAAAACATTTATTCTGGAATATCTTATCGTTTCAAAGACCGGGATGGATTCAATTCCTCCTCCCCACCTTACAGAACTCAAAAAATTGGACATATCTGTGATCGAGAAGATCCGTTGGACTGGCCAGACACTAGAACAGAATTACCACATTGTTAATTAAAGCTGCCAGCCTACGAAGCACACCTTTAGTTTAGAGTCAGCTTCACTGTTAGGGCATGGGTGCCCAGAAAAGAGTGTCATGGTACAATTGTACTATATAAATTTTTGAGAGGGGCACATTTCGACGGGGTTGAAATGAAAACTTTTGAATCAAGGAACAAGGGGAAAACATGGAACAGGCAGCAGCAAATTTGATTGTATATGATTTACGATTTTTTTAATTCTGGGGAAGGGAGAGGGTAGGTTCATGTGCCCTATGTTAGAGGATGTATGAAAGTTACTGGATTCATCCTTATTAATGAACTTTTTTACACTCTCTACATTGAGGGAACATTTTATAATTTTAATCTCATAAGTTGCCACTCACTTATTGGATGGTTTTTATAACAAGTTGAACAGAGTTTTTGATGCCTATACTTGCCGCAATATTTAAGTTTTTTAGGGCAATGATTGTACGAAGTAAATTGATTTGTCTTGTGAATTTTATTGTGAAGCATGTGAGTTGTCTACTCCGGATTTGTTTTAATGAGTTTTCTTTTTAAAAGGGATTAAGAAAAAGAGATGGACTGGCATGTCTTCTTTTTAAATTTGCCTTGGAAAAGTTATTAAGAAGTACGATTTTTGTCAGTATGCTTCTGGAGCTTGGCTTTGCTGACAATCAAGATATTATGGCTAGGTCTCGATGAGCGCTGGAGAATACTTTTCTAAACCTGAATAGGCCATCTTCATCAATGGGGGTCAACATCAATGAGGCGAAGATCAAACATATGTGTTTAGGTTTTGGAGGAGATCTCATAGTATCAGCCTTTACACACTTAATGACGGAGTTAATCTTCTGATCTCTTGATACAGGCTCTAATGATATGTCTGTAGAAATTAAAAAATGATTGGCTGAAGTGAACTGTTGTTACTTCTGGTATCTGAAGAAAATCAGCAATAGGCTTTACATCTGCCACCCTTTTCTCATATACGCCTCACAGACCTTGACCTTCTCAAATAGTAACAATAAAAATCTAGTGGTATTTGAAAGAAATATAATGGTATATAATTGACCCAGTGAGAGATATAGAGGGCTGGAGAATCAGAAAGATAGAGAATTCCGCGACCTTCATGTGATCAGGTTCATCAAGTTTAGGAGACTTAGTTGGGCTGGTCACATTGCCAGGAGGCAAGAAGACTGGATCAGAAACTGGAAGAGCACTGCACAGCTGACTCACCCTAGGTTTTAGTGCCACAGAGATCGGGATATAGAATAAAGTTTGGGAATAATTTAATACCAAGGTTTATTTTATGCTCTGATCCTAACCTCCACAGAATAACCTAATCATAAATTATATTCTGATTACATAATATAGAACAGGAGTAATCTGTGGAGGTCAGAAGTTGACAATAATTTAAATCACGTGATTAACATTACTGGATAAATTATATGTATGGCTCCCATCAAGGCCATAATCATTATCAATTCTCATAATCTTCAGATTTGATTTAGGAAAATTTTTATTTTTACAGAGAATATTCAGAACTAAGATATTAACGTGTTCACACCGGTGCGTACCACCCATGGTTCACATTTTATTGAGCTGTCAGATGATGCATAACACCAAAAATCTAGATCCTTGAGTAACTAGAAAGAATTACTACATAGTTGGAAATTTAATATATATTAATTTAAAACATTTATTTTTATGACAAATTACAACAAGGTATTGTAAACTTGACTTCAATACGATAACATCAACAACTTTAATTCAATAAATACGCAAACGCTACCCTTGCGATAAATTTTCCTAATATTCCTTTTACGCTTTAATTTGGACTCATTTGATAGAGTGAAGAGCTTCTAGTGTAGTTGTCTATGAAAGAGAAACATGAATTACGATTGGCATGAACATCTTAATTAAATTTCATTTTCAAAAATTCTTAAATAAGAAAAAAATCTATTCTCATGAAATAAAAGGAATGAATGCCGGCAATTTGAATTTTTGTATAAGCTGGGAGTAAGTTTGTTTTGAATCAGTCAGAGTAAATAAACAATAATTTTTTGCCGAGGTTTCAACTAAAATCACAGGTCATCATGACAAAGTTTTTTAAGTAAAAGTTTTAAGAACGCAATGTGTAAATCCAAATATTGCATTTTGAGTAGTGAGTTTTGGTAAAGTCCAACATTATTTACCGATTTTTTTATTTTATTTTGTTATATTAGTTATTTTGTTTCTGAAACATATTTCGATAATTTATTTATTTTTTCAGATTCAGATCATGAACAAAGAAGACGTAAGTATAAATAATCTAATCAAGTATATCAGTTAGGGCTCATTTACACGGTGCCAGTCGCTGGCATTCCAGTTGATTGGCGCATTACCATTGAAGCTCATTTACATGGTGCCAGTGGGATTCCAGTTGACTGGCGCATAAAGTTTATACATTAATGTATTACAATTAATGTGTAATACATTAATGTAGAGCAATTCAAGTGTTATGCGGGACTTTAAAATACGTATTTATTTAGTTAGTTTCTACAAATGGCCAAAAAACAGCACAAATTTCCAATTTAGAAACCTGTAAGTTCACTTTTTACCACGTCAGAGTGGCCAGCAAAAGTTTTCATACATGAACTGGTTGGTGATAAAAAAAAAAAAAATAATAACAATTCTTTCCTACATATTTTTTTATTTGTTTTATTTATTACAATTATAAATTCAACACAAATCTTATCAATATTCTAAAAATTGTTTGCATACCAACAAAAACATACTTTTTTATAACAAATTAAAGTATAAGATAAGAATTTTAATGTAGCAAGAGTATTCATTTTACCAGGATAGTAACCCTTAGCCTGAACGGTTATTTTAAAATTCTAAGATTTTGGGAAAATTTGCCTTCAGCTAGAATGTAAGTTTGCATGAATTTTTATCAGCCTAAAAAAATCATCTTACAATAACGTTTTGTTTTGCTGGTTAGTCAAATCTAATTCCGAGTAGGCGCTTTCCAGTCAATCAAAATATTTGTTGCCAGTGCCTCGCTGGCCTCTCCAGTGACTGGCGACCTTGACAGGCGCACCAACTTGCACTCTGTAAATGAGCCCTTAGTTATTCTAGCAATACCTTCAATATCAACTTTAGGCTTTATTTTTATGTTCAAAAAGTAATAATAATCCTACAAAAAAAAAACTCCTGTGAAAATTTTCCAAATTGAAGTAGTGAACCATAATAACGAGTGATATCAAAAAGGCTGGAAACCCTAGAAACTGAAAAAAGGAAGCAATAAATTCTTTATTTTTTAAATTTTATACGTTAACACAGGAGTTCTTAAAGAGGTATAGGTCACAGACCAACTCTTGAACATAACTTTTTTTTCGCAGATATTCTAACCACATGCATTTTATATCAATATGCTAACATATCTATTCATATACCATGGAGGATATCTATTAATCAAGTTTTTTTGAATAACATTCAAAAGTTGGGGGATGTAAATTTGATATTAAAATTGTTTTGTGAATCCCCGGTAATGGCTAGGGAGAACTTAGTTTAAGAACCTCTGCCTTAATGTATTATTGGACCATTTAAAAAAAAATAATAAATATAAATAAAAATCGTTACTGCTAGACTTCCAATTTTATATTTTATTAGTTAAAGATATCCTTATCATCTTGTCTACATACTAGGATTTTAGTCTTATCTTCATAATCTTATTTACTTTTAATAATTTTGTGTGTGAATGATACAAATCATACTTATCTTTCTTATCTTATTACTTCATTAATAACATGATGATTTTGTTTCAGCTTCAACTTCAGTCAACAGTAAGTTTTTTGTGTGTGTGTGTTCTTGAGGTATTAATTTCTGATTATTTTACTAATTCTTTGTTGTTTTTTAGGAGTTGTGTTTAAAAGGGAAAACAGTAAGTTTATAATCAACTTACTTTATCATAACATATGTTGATCATTTATATGCATCCTCTATTAAATCTTTTTGTATTCAATTTGAAAAATGGTTCATACAAGTTTTAAAAATAATTTAGATTCAATTGAGTAAATAAATAATGCGATCTATGTAATATATAACATGGTCGGTACAAATTGTTTCAAATTTCTAATTATTATTGTTAAATAAATGAAATTAAATTAGAGGACAGTGTACTGACCTAATTTAATCTATAATGTAATACAGTTTAGGTTTTTATCAGTTTAATTTGGGAGTGGGGTAGCTCAGTGGTAGGGCACCGATCTTCCAATGCTCAAGGTCCTAGGTTCGAATTCCCGCTCATGGCAGAAAAACTATCTATTCTGTTTCATTGGTCGTGGGGTGACCCTGGGGGTACCCTTAATTAAAATAATTAATTAAGGAGGAAAATCTGGTGTTTGAGTTTGATCCCAATCACTCAATCTTCTCCTTACACAACCATCAGCCTTGAAACAGTAATTGCTCCTAAATAGGTTTTTTTCTTATCGGTTTAATTTAATTTTTTTTATATTTCTACAAAATTAAATTAAACTCAATTTCAAAGCTCCACTAAGTGACCAGGTGATCATTAAAACATTTTTAAAAAATCAGACATTTTTTCTTATATCACAGAACAAAATAAGGAGATATATTGTAAAACCCCTCTTAGATTTTACAAATAATAATAATACCTCGGAATGTCACTTTATACTTTTGTGGTATTTCCTAAATAAATAAGAGTTTGTTATAATAATAAACAAAATTATAAGAGAATTAATATATTTATTTATGTCAGGTGTGGGTTACTGACAGTCAGATCAAAACAATCAGACAAACTAAAATTAACTATACTAAACACTGTTTGATTTTAAAATAAAGTCAAATATGGATTGGCAAGCTAACCTTTTTTCTATATGCACTGTTTCTTCCTTTGTCTTCAAATACTTTCTAAAGTTCTGCCAAACAGAACTTCCAAAATGGTGACACTATCTTTTACTCAACTCAAGCTCCCTGGAATATCCTCTCTGAGCTCCCTAGTGATTCCAATCAACTAGTCTCTCTGCCAAACAACTTCTAAGAAGGTATATCTATTACTGGGTTTTATCCATTGGAGCCAGAATCACTTCTCCTATCCTCTCCTCGCTGCAGCCACACAACAACTGCTTGCCAAAACACAATATCAATTAAATTTTCAAGGAGTACTTTATTATATATACCATAGGTGGGGAACCGTGGCATAGGAGATCACATATGGCCTCTGTTACGTAGTTGCAGCCTCCAAACATTTTTGCGTCATTTTTATGAATCTAATGCTGCAATTAATTAATTTTTAATTATCTAAGTAATGTCATTTTGGAAATTCATAGAATTAAGTTGAATGTATGTATGTGGGTGTGTGTATTTAATGATAAATAAAAATAACAAAGGTTAAATATAAAGAATTATTGTGCCCTCCATTAGCATTGCCTAACCTTACTGCGGCCTTTAGTGATAAAAAGATTCCCGATCTATGATATATACTATCTCATAATAGTATATTGTTTGGGTTTTGGATATGACTGAGTGTTTTAAGCTTGATTATAGTCTCGAGAAGGTGTTCCTACTTTCTATATTATTTACAGGTAGATTCTCAGATGATGCATTCAGTGAAGATACTTCAGAACTTAATAGAAGAGAAAATTACTTCTTTGTTGCCACTTCTCCTCACTACTTTGATAAGGATCAAATACCTGTAAAGGATATAACATGTCCAACACAAGGTTGGTAGTATTAATCTTTAAATTTGTGTATATTTATGGTCTTTATAAATCTTAATGTCTTGTTTAAAGTAATACAGTTTATCTAACAATAACATTTTAACAAAAATTAAACTCCTTTAGACTAATTAATAAAAATTTGAATATGTTAAAACTGTTTTTAAAATGACATTTCATTTATAAAAAAACCCATCTATTTAATATTATTGTGTAAAATAAAACTAATATCTTAAAAAGAGATACTGAAATATAAATTATAATCCCTTATTTTCAAGTTTGGAGCTCTTGCAGAAGTCTACATTAGACAAGTTGAGATGATCATTGGTGATAATTAGTTTAATCGGTTAATATTTTCTTCACCAAACAGATTGAAGTTTTCTCTTAGCATCATTTGTCATCTGTGACCATATTGTCTCTGAACCACGTTATTTACTGCTCAGACCATGGATATCTCCCAGTTTGTTCCTGTTTATATGTTTATAATTATCTATTAGGGAGACCAGAAAGTAATGTCTGAGCATGTCACTGTTTGCTTGTCATTTGGCAGCTCATCTTGTACATGTATGTCGTGGCAAAAACATTCTAAACCTTTATTGTGAACAATTGGATCACGTAAATCAATCTTTAATTGTAAAGTGGCCAACGATTGTCAACAGAAAAGGTGTTATTCTGTAACAGGAAAATGTAAGATCGCACTGTGTAATATGAACTCAGGAAAAAATTAATGAATTGGCGTGGAAAGTATTGCCTCATCCACCATACTTGCCCGATTTTGCACCATCGGATTTCCAAAACTCAAAAAAAAAACCAATTCATTTTTATTGAACCTGCATTGAAAATTTGCAAACTGGATGGCAAAAGGTTGTTGATCATGAGGGTGATTCCATCAATGATTAAAAATAAAATCTTGTGTGAAATTTATGTGTTTGAATTTAATGTAAGAAAACGACATTAATTTCCTGTTCCCCTAATATTTTTTTCTAATTCTACGAGATGGAATCAGTAAGTTTTAAGGGGGAGGGTAAGCAGAGGATTTCAGGGGTTCTGTGGGGGAACTCCCTCTGAGTCTATAGGTGACATTTGGTCTCTATTTGAAGAATATGCCCATGGAAACTCTTGTGATGCTTAGAACAGCTATTGGAGATATGAGGGCGGGGTGGCCGAACGGGCTAATGCGTGTGCACAGCACCGCAGTTGCTCGTCAACCTGATATACAAGATAAAAATAGTCACGAGTTAGTGTCCCTGTGCTGGGGGATTCTTTTAACTCGGCCATTAATCCCTGCCCTCATCCCCTGGCCCGGGAAAACCATGTTTAGCCTTAAAGGGGAGGACACTCCCCTCCCCCCAAACAAAATATTGGAGAAGATACACTAAACAAAACACGTGTTTATGATTTTTTTCACATTTCAAGAATGGAGAGGTGTGGATTGAACACCAACCTTGTTCTAGATGCTCTTCAACTTCAAGAACCAACGAAAGTGTTGAAAAAAATCAACGCCCAATCAATCAGCAGTTTAAATGGGGGTTTTGAACTGATTGAGCGAGAAAAGGGCAGTAAAATCATTAGAACACATGTGATTGGTCCTTTCACCATAACAACTTATCTCCCCACACCACGCTGCCTATGAAGCAGTTTTCAACAAAGAACGGCTCAACACCTATTCTTCATCCCCCCTCCTATTTACCAGACTTGGCTCCCTGTGACACCTTTCTATTCTCTAGGCTTAAAAAAACGAAAGGAAAACATTTAGAGACTGTGGAAGAAGTAAAACAAAAACCATTGTAAAGGCTAATGACATTATCCTAATAAATGGATTTAAAAAGAGTTTTGAATTATAGCTAAAACCTTTGGACAAGTGCATTACAGTTAATAGGAATTACTTTAAAGGTGTTCAACACTTATTGTAGAATATGGATAAATAAAGAAGTAATGATGAAATTTCTGTTTTTTGTTGTTTCTTTTGGTTCCGCTCGTATAGTAATATTTAAAATATATTTTGATTTGTTTTAGAAACAAAAGAAATAAAATTTTTATCTTTGAAATACCTTTTGTGAGTTATTCCTATAGTGTTTGAAAAAGTTAAGCGTATGGAAATAATTATTGATCCATAGGTTAGGTTGACCAATGGTGGTATTGTTCTGCTTCGACTTTACTAAAAAGTTCCACTCCCAAGAATCACTCAATATTTTGAGTGTCCAAAACATCCAAAATAAATATATGGTTCATGTACGTAAACATATTGGGAATACATCCAAACAGTTATATTCATTGTTTCTTGATAGGTAAATAGGCTGTTATTGAGTGCAATCTTTATGTTTATTTTTAGTTAAGAATGCCTTTTTAAGAAGCAAATCAGGGATTGGATTTGATGCAATTCAGAAGAAAAATCAATGGCTGGAAAGTATGTCACATCTTCAAAGAACTACACCAGATTTAATGTGCCTATACAAATATCTATGTATGTTTATATAATAGAGACAATTATTAAAAACATTAAATATGCACTATTCTTTGAATTATTTGTTTTAAAACATTTTAGGTAATGATGAACTAAAGAAACATAGAAGCTTGAAGAATTCATTCGGTAGTAAAGTTTTATTTTATTTACAATACAAATAAAATATTGTTAGAAATTCATCATTATGTTTCTGTAAACAAGAACTCTATAAAACATTAAGTATTATCTTTAGAATAATTGGTTTATAAATATTTCAGATTATGGAGAGTTGGAGAAACCTTCTAAAAACTTGAAGATTTCATTCGGTAATGATTTATTTTATTTGTAATAATAATATATCTATCTATTTGGTTTAGCTCTAATATTGAACTGGTGGGCTCTTGTTATGTCTTTAGATATATCTATTTTTATTATACAAGAAAATAATAAATACATTATCTGCAATTAAATCTCCCAATTTCAAACCGATGGTAGTATGATTAAATTGAAGTATGATATTTTCATGTTTAATAAATTCCTTTGTAAACATCCTGCAATGTTGGCAATATTGGATAATTGATATACCTATCAAAATTAAAGCCGCTGTATTGCTTATAATTCTAGTGAATATTTCAGCAAACACACAATAAAGTCTCAAACAATAATTCTGAACCTCAATTATTGTGTGATTAGCTTAATAAGACTGTTATAAAATAATGAAATATCTTTAGAATAATTTGTTGGTTTGAAAATATTTCAGATGATGAAGAAGCGGAAAAGCCTTCTGGTAGCACCGATGAAGCATTTGGTAATGGAATATTAATACTTAATCAAAATAATCTTGCCAAAGATTTTATAATTGTTTTAATTTTTTTTAGTTGAATACACCAGTATATTGAAGCAAACAAAGGATATAAGTAAGCGCCCAGTCCATAAATATATTTCTTTTGAGTATTAAAAATGAAGAAATTAAGTTAGTTATAATTTAAGATATTCCCCTAAAACTTTCATATTTCTTTGAATTTTTAATTTTTTGCTCTCTTTCACACCTCTGTCCTCAAGAGTCATAAGTGATTTACCATAGTTTATATTCTTCTATAATACTTTGTTAACTTCAAAAATTTAAACAATTTATGCTTAAAATTTAAATAGTTTCTGCTTCTTAGTAAATCCATATCCATATTATTTAATGTTATGTTTTCATAGATCCCGTAGCTGCTAACATTGCTACATTTAATAATGCAAGTAAAGTGTCCAATCTACAAGCGAACGTGACAGAATCTATAACTCAACAGATAGGGGAGAGCATAATTACCCAAACAAAAGAACATGAATTTGAAGAAAACAACGTAAACGAAACTAGCATCAACTTACTATCATCTGAAAAATCTATGGATGCTGTGGAAAAAATCAATAGGAGTGTTTCTACTTGCAAGTTACCGATTGATATTAACTTATATTTATTACCTAAACTTTCAAAATTAGATCCAAATGTTGAAGGGAAAAGAAATGGTAACATTTCAGATGTTGAGAGTTGTAGATTTCATTCAAATAATCTACTGGGAGTAAGTAGAGCTGTATGTTTTGATACCCCGTCCACTTGTTCATCTTCTCAGATCAGTATAAAATTCACAAGCCTTACTCACAGACGTTCCTGTTCTAATTAATGTGGCATTTCATAAAGTTTAATGTTTAAAATGTTGATGATGTTGTAATTAAAATACATAATTTTACTAGTTTTATATGTTTTTAATATTTTTTGAGGTTTATAAATATGTATAGTAATGTTTTAACAATCATAATATTCTGAATGTTTATTGTGCATTTATTGCCCAGGCCTGGGCATAAAGTATTTTGATTATTATTTCAAAATATAGTATTTAAAGTGCCAGATATTTTGTGTTTTTAAAGTATTGTGTATTTTAATTAGAAAGTATGTATCGAAGAAACATTGTAGAATTTTCGGTCAATGAAATTACGAAGTAAAAATAAATAAATAATATTTATTTATATATCTTTTGTGCCAACGTTTCGACCTAAGTTTCAGGTCATCATCAGAGCTAAGCAAAGGCAAAACAACAAATAAATATTGAGAAAATAGTAGACGGTTATAGTAATAGTATGTAGGTAAAAAGATGTAGCCAAATAATATATAGGCTGTTAAAATTAACATTAATAAATATGTATAATGAGAAATATATGATTTATAAATTAAGGAAGTATAATAAAGTAACTGTAATAAAAGTTGGAACTTTTATAGTAGCAGAAAAGTTAGTACACATAAAATAACGTTAACAAAGTTAGAAACTTATGAAATAATAAAACAATCTTAGGAAGTTATAAAATAAATTGATGAAGTAAACAATAATAAAATAATGGTAACAACTTAATGAAATTAAAAAAGAAATGGAATATAGAATAATGGTTGAAATATAAATGATAAATAATAGGATGCACCTGCTTGTTCGATCGGTAACATAAGGTAATGCTCCTTCGAGTGAGAAAGTGCATCCTATTATTTATCATTATATCTATATATATATATATATATATATATATATATATATATATATATATATATATATATATATATATTTATTTATTTATTTATACATATTTAATAATAAAAAATAGGATGCACTTCCTCGCTCAATAAATAACATTATTTTATTATTGTTTACATTATCAATTTATTACTTTTATATTATAACTATCTAAATTTGTTTCATTATTCCATAAGTTTCTAACTTTATTACCGTTATCTTATATATTTTAACTTTGCTACTGCTATAAAAGGTTCCCCCAGCTTTTATTACCGTTACTTTATACATCTTTATTTTATATATTGTAATATCTCTTATATTTTACAAATGATAATATAACCTCGTGGAAGATCACTTTATATTACAGCTATACTTCCAAAACAAATAAGAGGTAGTTAAAATAAAAAAGAAATCATCAGAATATTAGTATATTAAAATAACTTTGAAATTATTTTATCTCAGGTATGGGTTACTGACAATCAGATCAAAAGACTCACAAAGACTAACATTTACTACACTAAACATTATTTGATTTTAAAATAGAGTCAAGTATGAACTGGCAAGCTAACCATTTTCTATCTACACTGTTCTTCCTTTGTTGCACTGAATTTATTTATCTTCTAACATTTTCCAATGTTCTGCCAAACACATCTCCCAAAATAGTGACACTTTCTTCTACTCAACTGAAGCTGTTTGGGAGATACTCTCTCTTGTAATTCCAAACAACTAATGACTGTCAAACAACAACTTCCAAGATGATAATACTATTGCTGGGTTTTACCCACTGGAGACTAGATCTCTTCTCCCATATGCTCTCTTCACCCCAACCAAACACCAACTGCTTGCCAAAACAATTAGCTTTGTCCCCTCTCCTCTTTGGGATTTTCTTTTCTGGGGAAACTACAGAACAGCCATTTTCCTTTCCTGAACTAGTGCAACTAGATTAGCTTGTCTTTTAACTGATCAACATTAATTTATTAAATCCTTTTTACCCACTTCCAATAAAGGTGTACATTACAATATTGTATATTTGCCATTACACATATTTATTAATACTAAGTTTAACTAACTACATATTATTTGACTATATTATTTTTCTTAATATTGATATGTTACCTTGTCTTTGCTTAGTCCTGATGATGGCCTGAACTTAGACTGAAACTTTGGCACAAATGAAATAAAAATAAATATTAATTTTTACTTTGTACTTTCATTGTATGAAAACCGTAACCAACTTCTTGTTAATATTTATATCTTCTACAGTCAACTATTATCTACTATCATAAAAAGTATCTAAATTATTATCTGTTTAAAATAAATAATATAATACATTTTTCGTATTTTAAAAAAGAAAATACATATGCAAATTATGTATTTTATTTTATATTTTAAATTATAGAAGAAAATACTGCCTAGGTCTGTTATTTACTAATTATGATATAGTATACAAATGTGTAGTTAATTACTATATTATATGTTGATTTAAAAAAAACTTTTGGATCCTGATTAGTAATTTAATTCTAAAAAAATACTAGTATTTTCAGGCTTAAAACAAGGCATTACCTTTACCTTTCCATCCTTTTATTTAATTTAGCTTTAAAATATGTCATTAGTGTCGTGATTGTTTTGCAAAAGAGTGTGTATGCTGATGGTTATGTTGGGCTTTGATAAGTAAACTGAACATAACAGCCATTCTATGAAAACGTATTGGAGAAAAACGTTGTTAGCATTAAATTTTCTTCAAGAATATAAATTATTTTATTATATTTTCTTCAACCCTTCAAAAGTTAGAGCAATTATTTAATGTATAAATTCGAAGATTTATGCAGAAAAACCTTTATGTTTTTCCTTATTCTACATCTTTATATAAGCCAGTATTTATATATAAATAGTTCATATTTCATAGTTTTCAGTGGATCTGAGTGTCGGATCTTAGTGTTCTTTGATTCTTTGATCACTTCAATTGGCGAGCCTCTACGAAATTCACAGTGGGGACTCATAGTTCATCTTTGATCCTCTTATTGCTGACACAGTCTCTTATTGTTTTCCCAGAAATTCTTCAAAGAAATTAAATTTCTGCAGCTACCACCCTCCTCTGCTGTTTATATGTCAATATCCAACTTTCAGTTCCATATAAGAGTACTGGCAACTATACTGACTTAAAGATGTGGAGCTTCTCCTTTCTGCCCACCTCTCGCTTTCCAATAACAGTATTGCACATCTGGTAATAGTAATAGTAAAATGGTAGACCATGTTTGCCTTATTAATCCTGTGTAGGGTTTCTGAATCCACTTTCTGAGAACGTTCCACAACTGTTCCGAGGTTAGTGAAAGCTGAGATTACTTCCATTTTACAGAACACTTTGGCATGTTTTTGTAACCTTTCTGCCTCAATCATCTTGCTTTTGTCAGCATTGATAACCATTACTTTTCTACGGTCTGCTGTAGTTTCTCTTCAAAGTCTGCAGTGAGGACAATATTATCTGCCTATATAAGAAAATGGATCACCATGGGATACAAATTTCGCCTCTCCAGGAAGGTCCTGTCAGTTCGCCATTTGCAGATAGCCGCTATCTCGTCCATATATAATATGGACAGAACAAGGGGTCCAGACTGTCACCTTGTTCGATCCCCCTAGCTATGTTTAAATACCCAGACTCCTGTCCATTTAGCCTGACAATTCCTTTTGGGTCTTTGTATGTGGACTTAATGGCTTCTACCAAGCTTCTTGGGATATTATTAGCTCTTAGAGCTTCCCGTATTTCGTTCCTTGGGATCGAGTCAAATACTGCCCAAAGGTCAAGAAAAGCCAGGTACATATTTTTATGATTTTTACAGTTTGCAGTTTTGATCAGTGACCTTAAAAAAATTTCTTGGGGGAAGTATCTTGATTATTAAATCGATCAATTAAATTTCTATCGATTGGTACATATGCTAACCATAAATTCAGTCAGCATAGTTATTGGCACAAGATGATTCCAAAGTGAACAACACTTAGACATAAAATGTTATAAATGCCTTGCAAATTGCTTTAAATATTAACTATTTAGTTGAATGGTCACATGAAAGTAATAACGTGTGGGAAACATTTTTTTTTAAATTATTGAATATTGGGGTAGCATAAAAATGAATATCATTAATATTGTTGCAAATTTTATCAGCTTTGATTTTGTATAGATCAGTTTTAATGCTAAGATGCATAGTTATTCTGATATAAGTAACCAATTGAAAAAAAGTGACTTTCTGGATCTCTTCCCACCTCTGGCTCTCCCTGTGTGAAACATTTAGTATTTTCATCTTGTAACTAGTATCCTAACAAAATATCTAAAATAAAAGACCTTTAATTTCCCTCAAAACCTCCATTTTGGGCTCTTATTTTCTGAACTATTAGGTCAATCCATATGAAATCCAATAATGAAAGCAACCAACAAAATTGATTTATTTTATTTGTTGAAAAAGATGTATTCATTAATAATTTATATATATATATTTGGGAGGTGGGACTTATTTTGTATTGGTGTGTCTGTCTATGTTTTATTTTACTGATGTTAGTCTTATAAATATAAAAATCTATGTTAAAGAGCATAAAATGAACAGTATTTTCTCTCTCCTATATGTATAGCTGAATGTTTCAGCTATACATAGCAGGATTCAAACCAAAAAAAAATCTCTTTCAAATTAAAAATGGTAAAGATAAAGCTTCCACTCACCTCTTTTATATATTATATATATATATATATATATATATATATAAAGTGTTTGCTATTTAATACTTTAGTAAATAATTTCAGCCCTGAGATTTCTATCCTTTTTTTATAATGAGTCTTCAAAAAGTACAATTTTTCGCAAGTCAGATATTTTTTAAATCAAAAATATCTCAGGAAGGACATGCTCTAAAAATCTAAAATATTTATAAAACATTTTGTTGTTTTGTTGAAATAAGTGATAAGTTTTGTATTGCTAAGCCTTATTAGATTTTTAGGTTTGAAATATTTTAATATATTTAAAAATTTTCAATATTTTATATCCAAATATCTTGTAAGGGACACAAATTAGTAATCCACAACTTTTGGAAAAATATTACCTTATTTTATTGCAATACCTTTTTAAAATTTCATCTCTTGAGACATTTTTAGTTTATTAATTAGAAATTCTTGAAAATAGTTTCATATTTTTAAAAATCTGGTATTTTTAATTTTAAA